ACTACTGGACCACCAGGGAAGTCCACAATGCCACCTTTTAAGGCAGGGCTCTCAGATCCTCCCTTTGATGCTAGGGAATGAGATAGCAAGAAATCCCAGGTCTCCACGCCTTTAGCAAAATTCGTCCATACTCTGGACCCCGGCTCTGGGCTGGTGGTACACAGGTTTTGTCCCAACAGAGGAGGGGGGGCCCTTGAAGTCAGGGGACCCTGGCCCTTCCTATCACTCTCCCTCCCCCATGACCCTCCCAGTGTGTGGCCTGGGCTGACGTGTTTGTGGCGGAGGACAATTTCAGTTCCTTCTTGGGGCTGGCTGGTCCTGCGCACTTCTGCGGTGGGGCAGCCACTGTGGAAGGAAACTCTGCCTCAGACCCTAGCTTGGACCACTGTCTTCCCCAGCAGGTGGCGAAGCGGGGGGAAAGGATCAGTGGAAGGGGTTGGGAGCCCAAGATCTGGATGCAAGATGGCGGGTCCTACGGGCACCTGCCTGGGAGGACTGGTTCAGGCCGAGTCACGTCCCAGTCACCCAGCACCTACTAGGTGCCGGACACTGTGCCAGGAGCTGGAGATGCTGCAGTGAACAAAGCAGACAAAATTCCCTGCTCTCAAGGACCTACCTTCTCCTGGTGGGAGGAGGGGGTAGCACAGGTTAGGCAGAGCCATCAAACCCAGGTATGCTACCTACAGTTGGCTTCTCCCGGTTCTTCTACCTCATGTACCTTCTCACCTCACCTCATTTCCTCAGCTTCCTGAGAAAAGCCCACAGGTTTCCCTGATCTCACCTCTCCTCTCGCTCTCTTTGCTCCAGCCACACTGGCCTCCTTGATATGTTTCCTGCCTCTGAGCATTTGCATTTGCTGTTCCCTCTGCCAGGAGTGCTTTTCCCTCTGGATATCTGCATGGCTTGTGCCCTTATTTCCTTCAGGTCTTTACTGAAAAGCCGCTTCTCCAGGAGGTCTTCCCTGGCCCCTCCTAGCTAAAATGGCAACCCCACCATCCTCATGCACAATTCATATGCTCTTCCCCTGCTTCATTTTTCTCCTTGACTCTTAACTTCACCTAATGTACAGTACAAATGTTGCTTTATATTTTCCCTCTCTGGTAAGGGAGGGCAGGAGCCCTTGTCTTTCATTTTTACCAGATAATTTATTGAGGTGAAACTTACACAACATAAAATTCACCATTTTAAAGTGAACAATTCAGTGGCATTTAATACCATGCTGTGCAACCATCACCTCTATCTAGTTCCAAAACATTTTCATTGCCCCCAAATATAACGCTGTACCCATTAACCAGTCACTTCCCATTCTCCCCTCCCCCTAGTCCATGGCAACAACCCATCTGCTTTCTGTCTCTATGGACTTATCTATTCCGGATAATTCATGCACATGGAATCACACAGCATATGGTCCTTTTGCAACTGGCTTCTTTCACTTAGCATCATGTTTTCAAGGTCCATCCACATTGTGGCATGCATCTGTAATCCATTCCTTTTTATGGCTGAGTAATATTCCATTGTATGGATGTACCTACCATGTTTTATTTATTCACTCCTCTGTTGATGGACATTGGGGTTGTTTCCACCTTTTGGCTACTGTGAACGGTGCTGCTATGAACATGAATGTACTTGTATGTCTTTTTAGCTTGTATCCCTGGTGCCTCAGAAAGAGTAGTGCTCAATAAATACTGGTTGAAAGAATGACTGATTGGAGGAAACAACGGCATTTGACTCAGCAGGGTGGGGTTGGGGGGTCATATGCCTTCCCAGAAGGGGCGATGGCTGGGCGAAGGCTTGAAGCACCAGCCCTGGAAGGGGATCAGCACGTGCAAAGGCCCAGAGCATGGTGCATTCTGGGAACAGAGAGAAGCAGCTGGCCAAAGCTGAGGGAGTGGGGATAGGAAACCATGCATGAGGAGGCTGGAGGGGGAGGTAGAGACCAGGACTATAGGGCCTTGTCACTCAAGGGAAGGAGTTTGGACTTGCTCCTGAGGCAGTAGGGAGCTATGGAAAGGCTCTGAGCAATGGAGTGCCATGACTCGATTTGACTTAAGTTTTACTAGGATGCCTCAGTGGAGAATGGATTCGGAGGGCACAGAGGTCAGAGTGACAGAAGGGAGACCCGAGAGAGGGCTATTGCCGACATCCTGCTGAGAGAGAGATGGTGGTAGCTTGGGATGGGGAAATGGTGGCCGAGATGGAGAAGTGACAGACTCGAGACATGGTTTGCAGGTAAATCATCAGGATTGGTAATGGTAGCCACAACCCAGTTCTAGTTGTCAAATTCCCCTTTCCAGTCCTTCTGAATCACTGTCCCTATTCACAGTAGCCAAAAGGTGGAAACAACCTAATGTCCATTACAGATGAAAGGATAAACCAAATATGGTACATCCATACAATGGAATACTATTCAATCATAAAGGAATGAAGTACTGATAAATGCAGTAACACTGATGAACCTTGAAAACATTGTGCTAATTAAAAGGAGCCAGACGCAAAAGGCCACATATTGTATGATTCCAATTATATGAAATATCCAGAATAGATAAATCCATAAAGACAGAAAGTAGATTGGTGGTCGCCAGGGGCTGGCAAGAGGGGAGAATGGGCAGTGATTGCTAATGGATGTGGGGTTGTACTTTGGAGTGACAGACACGCTTTGGAACCAGGTAAAGCTGGTTGTTGTTCAAAACTGTGAATGTATCAAATGGTACTTGAATCGTTCATTTTATTTTATTTTTTGCTGGTGACTTTTAAAATTTGGGAGCTGTATCTTTTTTTCTTTATTTTCAGCTTTGTAGAGGTGTAATTGGCAAATAAAATTGTAAGGTATTTAAAGTATACACTGTGATGATTTGAAATACATACACATCATGAAAGGATTCCTCCCATCTAGTTAATTAACATCCATCACCTCCCATATTTGTGTGTGTGTGAGAACATGTAAATTCTACTCTCTCAGCAAATTTCAATCATACAATACAGTGTTATCAACTAGTCACCATGTTATACATTATGTTCACTTTAAAATGCTTAATTTTTTTTAATGCTTAATTTTTTAAAATGAGAATTTCACCTCAATTAAAAAAATAAATGATAAGGACTCCAAAAAAAAAAAAAAAGAAAGAAAAGATGCCAGGCTCTTGGTCTCAGATTTCTGCCTTTTTTGCCGCTGTCAACCCTTGCTTCCAGCATAAGGGGTTCTGAGAACCAAGACTCATAGACTTCTGGGAAATTTTCCCCACACCAAGGACCAAATGCCCATGTGCCTGACATTTTCCTTATCTGGCTAACACCCAGATTTGGGGAAATTCCAGTTTGCCTTTCCTGTCCAAGAAATTATGGCATCATCAGGTACAGCTGGATCCAGGGGCTCAGATGATATCAGATATCATCATGTATCTGTCTCTCCCTATGCCATGGGTCTTGGCCCTACTTTCCTCTGTCCTGGCTTCACTATCAGGCAGGATCTAGAATTCAACCACTTCTCTCCACTTCCACTGCCCCCACTCTGCTCTTAGCCACTATCATCACTCACCTGGCCTACTGCAAGAGCCTCCTCCCTGGTCTCCTGGCCTCTACCCTTGCTCCCTACAGTCCATTCTCCCCACAGCAGCTAGGAACCGCGTTGAACCTAAGACAGAGCATGTCCCATCTTTGCTCAAAATCCTCCCATGACTCTCCATTCCTCTCAGAGTAAAAGCAAAATCTTTTCCACGATCCACAAGACTCTAAGCAACCTGGCTTTGCCAATCATCTCTAACCTCATTTCCTACTATTCTTCCACTTGATCGATCGGCACCAGCCCCACTGGCCTCCTCCCTGTTCTACAAACATGCTCAGATGGTCTCACCTCAGGACCTTTGCACTTGCTGTTCCCTCTGCCTGGGACATCCTTCTCCCAGTTATCAACATGGCTCCCTCCCTCACTTCCTTCAGGTCTCTGCTCCTCAGAGAAGCTTTCTCTGACCACTTTGTCTAAAATTGCACTCACAGTCTTTCTACCCCACTACCACGGATTATAGTCTTCCTAGAGAGAATCACTTCTAGATCTCATCTTATTTGTTTGTTGATTGACTCAAGGACAGCACCTGGCACAGTGCCTGGCACACAAAGGTGCTTAGTGAGAGGCTGTAGAATGAATAGATCATCCTGGTCTGTCCTGTTTCTCTCCTGCTCTCAGGCCAGGACTGGACAGTGATTGAGTCCTGGAAGGTGGTGGGGACGAGGTAGCAAGAGCAGGAAGTAAAGACAGGTCTAGGGAGGTGGAACTGTGTTATTTTGGATAGAACAAAATGAACAGCAATTCCTGCTTATTGAGAGCATCTACTGTGTGCCATGCACTTTATTTACTATGATTGTCTTTATTTGACAGATGAGGAAACAGAGGGCTAGAGAAGTGGATTGATTTCTTTAAGGCCTCACAGTGATTAAATGTGACTTACTGGGACTTGAACCCAAGCCTGCCCAACTCTAGAACTTTCCCTCTTCACCTGGGGCCAGGGGTAGGGTTGCCAGGCATCCTGTCCATATAGAACAGTCCTGTATTGACTTTGTCATGACGCCTGAAATGTCCTGTATTCATCTTTTTTCAATAAATCACACGTTTTCAGCAGAGTTATTTTTCAAATTTAGCTGGGCGTTAAATTTGCTAAATCTGGCAACCCTAGCCAGGGAGGAGCTCGAACTCCAAGCCTAGAGCTTGCTTCAGCGAGTGGCCTCGCCCAGGACCCCGATGGTTTTTCTGGACGAATTCGCTCCCTATCCCTACCCCTGAGAGCGCGGAGTCTCCGGGATCTAATCTTCTCTCCCCGAATAGGACACTGGGAATTCCTAAACCGGTTGCTGTTCCTTTAAGAGTGGTTTCGAGGGCGGGCCCACAAGGTGTGGCGAATCCGGGGGTGGGTCGGGGCCGGGTTGTCCAATCCGGGAGCGGGGGACGAAAGCGGGGGCGGATCCGGCTCGGGCTGGTTGGGAAGGGTTAAAGAGGCGAGTTTGTGGGTCGCCGACGGTCCGGCTGCCCCCGCCTCCTTCCGTCTGATCCGCGCTCTCCCGCGGCTGCGCCGGCTCGGCCGCCCGGGAGACAAAGCACCGCCGCTGCCGCCGCCGCAACCGAGCAAGTCCCGGGCCATGGCCGGGCCGCTCCCCGGTTCCCGTCCCGCCACTGCTGCCGTCGCCCTAGTCCGCGCCGTGAGGTAAGGCCGGACTGGCGGGAGGACTTTCGGGCTGACCTGCGAGGGTTTGCGGGACCGGGCTCGGGCCGCCGTGGGCCTCGGGGTCCCCCAGCCGTCTGGAGAGATCTCTGCTGGGGATTTGTCCATTTGCGATTCCACGCCAGTGGTACTTTTCCCATCAGGGACCCCAGCTCCAGGAGGCGAATTTGGCCGATGACCCTTCAGCCCCATAAAAGACCTCCGCCGCTGCGGGAACTCTGAGGACTAAAGCTGCACTTGGCTCCCACATTCTGCCGTTGACCACCTCTTCCAGGGCTCTGGCTGTCCTTTAAGGAACACACCACACACAAAAAGATAGATAGGAGCAATGATAGATAGATAGATAGGAGCAATGGCCTGGGATGGCGGTCCTGGCTTCCTTGTGGCCCTTCCCTGCCCAGGGCAGCCCTGCACAGGAACTCTTCAGGGTTCTCAGTACATGTTTTTCTGCCTGGACCTGCCACACCCTCTCCAACATGCCCACTGCTCGGGGACACTTGTGGCAGCTGGATCCAACTCCAGGACCTGTGGTTCTGGCTTCTTTCCTTGAAATGAGTGGCAAAATGCCATGCCTCAGTTTCCCCAGAGTCCTGGTTTCTGGGCAGTCTGTGTCCTTGGAGACCTGGAGCTAATTATTTGCCTTTTTTTTTTTAATATAAATCTTTTTTTAAAATTTATTTTTGTAAATTTATTTATTATTTTATGGCTGTGTTGGGTCTTCGTTTTTGTGCGAGGGCTTTCTCTAGTTGTGGCAAGCGGGGGCCACTCTTCATCGCGGTGCGCGGGCCTCTCACTATCGCTGCCTCTCTTGTTCTCTGCGGAGCACAGGCTCTAGACGCGCAGGCTCAGTAGTTGTGGCTCACAGGCCCAGTTGCTCCGCGGCATGTGGGATCTTCCCAGACCAGGGCTCGAACCCGTGTCCCCTGCATTGGCAGGCAGATTCTCAACCACTGCGCCACCAGGGAAGCCCTATTTGCCTTTTGACAGCTTCTTGATTGAGTGTTTACTACCTGTTCAGCATTTTGCAAAATTTCTCTTCAGGATTAATCTTTTCAATTCCGAGAGGGATGGATGTTAATGTAGATGAGGCTGTGTTCTCAAGGCCCATCCAGCCTGGACTGGAGGAGGCGAGTTGGCTCTGAGACCAGAGAGGGGCTGGGTTGGTCCCCGCCAGCTTCCTGCCTGGCCAGGGACTGTTGTATTAGCAGCAGTGCCCACAGCGGACTCTGAACTTCTTGGAAAAGTGTACGAGCAGGGCGAGATAAGCGGGGGACCAGGCCCTCCCGGAGGCTGGAGACTGTGCCCTTGCTGCTTCCTGCCCTCCCCTCGTTTCTTGCTGGGCTGGAGGAGGCAGGGCCATGGGCAGAGAGGGGTCCTGTGCTGGCTGGTGACCTTGGGCTCAGGGTGGGGTGGCTGCGTGGAGGGGAGCTGCTGAGTGTGAGGGAAATTGCTCTTCCTTTGGCCTTAATGGGTGGTGAGACTCCAAGATCAGCCCCTTTGGGCTGGTTGCCTAGAGCATGAGATTCTAGGCACAGAATTGTACCTTTGGCAAGTTACTTAAGCTCTCTGTGTCTCAGTTTCCACATCCATGAATGTGGGATGGGGAAAAGACTCCTCATGGGGCTGTTGAAAGGTTTACGTAGGTAACTGTTTGGTTCATTTTACAGGTTTTTGAGCACCAACTACATGCCAGGCACTGGAATTCAGACAGAGAACCTCCGCCCTCCTAGAGCAGCAAAAATGACCCAGGTAATTTCCAGCGGCGGTATGGGAGAGTGACTAGGGGGGGTCTCTTGTATACAGAGACCTCCTCCTCCTTGAGGAGGTGATGGTCAAGCTGAAACTGAAGGATGAGGAGTTGGCCATGTGAAGATACAGGGAAGGCATTCCAGGTAGCGGGAAGAGCCAGGGCAAAGGCCCTCAGGTGTTTGAGGAACACCAAGGAGGCCAGGGTGGCTGGAGCCGAGTGAGCAAGGGGGAAAGAAATAGGGGAAGGGAACTTGGAAGACATGGGGAAGAATGAATTTTATACTGAGAGAAGTAGGGAGCCATGGGAGGGTTTAATAGGGGAGGGGTGTGATAGGGTTTAGTTTTAATAGGATCCCTCTGTGGGGGATGGATCCTCTGGGGGGCCAGGGGAGGGGCCTAGGAAGGAGTTATGATCTTACCCTGAACAACACGGACAAGGAACGGGCAATGGTGGAAGAAGGGAGACCAATGAAGAAGCTACTGTAGCTGTCCAGGCAAGCCACAATGGGGGGCCTAGAATGGAGGTGGCAGTGAGCAGAGATGAGGCCACTGATTTGGAAGAGGTGGGGAGGGGATGAAGTGGACTTGATAAGTGATCAGATGTGGAGGTGGGGGGAAACCAAGGGCCTTTTGCCAAGACAGAGAGCACTGAGGGGAGCATTTGGAGAGGCTGAGAAGAATGTCATCAGCTACCACAGCTAAGCACGTACTATGCCTGGCACCGTGCTTAGCGCTTCTATGTAGCCATTGTGTCATTGTCACAACAACCCCGACTTAGGTGCTGTTATGATCCCATTTTACAGATGTGGAAGCAGAGGCCCAGAGAGGCTTAAAGCTTGCCTGGGGTCACACAGCCTGGACACTACAGAGCTGACATTTGAACCCAGAGAAGAGCAAGCCGAAACCAGAACTGAGCAGAGGGCAGGGAAGTGAGCAGTGGCCTGAGAGGTAGGAGGGAAATGGGGCGAGTAGGGTGGGTGGTTCCTGTGAGAAATGGGGCTGGGGTCCACATGGGAGTTGTTGGGGGGGTAGGGAGGAATCCCTCCCATTTTGCAGAGAAACTGAGGCTCAGAGAGGGGAGGCCCATGTCTAAAGTCACACAGCTCAGGGACGTAGAACAGAGATTAAACACCCTGAGTCTTCAGGGGTTGTGGCCTTGGTCAGGTCAGCTGCTAGGTCAGGATAGGCACTAAATCACGGCTCATGTTGCTTCTTCCAGGAAGCCTTTCTTGACTGTGTAGGCTGGTGAGATGAGGTGGATTGGGTTGGGAGCAATTGCCTCCTCCGCCCTGGGTCAGGTTGCCTGTCTGGGCCCCACTGTGGCTAGCTGCTCCCTGGAGAGGCACCACCCATATCTCATTACTCCAGGTCCTAAGGCATTGCCCAGGTTGGGGAATGAACATTAATTGAGCACCCACTGCATTCCAGCGACTTTATATACTTTGCTTCTTGAACAATGTGGCCAATGTCCTATGTAGAGTGAGATTTTGAAGCAGGAGCACAAGGTACATTTGCAGAGTGGCCATGGAAAACCCAAAGGGAGGGTGTAGCCACCTTGGGGACCCATGTGCCACCTGAGTCCTACCTGGCCAGTGTCTCCCTCATCATATACTCCTTGGAGGAAAGTGGTATAATCACTGTGGCCAAGTGCATAGAGTTAGAGTCCTCTACTTCAAATGGGTGCACAATGCTCTCCCCCCAGCCCCTCCCTGTAAGTGTGGGCCAAGCCCTGGGCCCTTTATCCGGATTATTTTGTAAGTCTTTTCTGCCACTGTGACTGCATCACCCACCTCTCCCCTTCCTCACTCTGCTCCAGCCTCACCAGCCTCCTCAAGCACACTAGCAGGTTCCTACCTCAGGGCCTTGCACTTGCTATTCCCTCTGCTTGGCATGTCCCAGGGGCTCCCTCCCTCACCTCCTTCAGGTCTCTGCTCAAATGTCACCTTCTCAGTACAACCTTTCTTGACACCAACCCCCCCTCCTCCTTTAAGATCAAACACTCCTTTTGTCCTTAACACTCCTTACCCCCTCCCTGTCTTATATTTTCCAGACCACTTAAGACCATCTGGCCTTTATCTGTTAAAGTACAGATAATGTACTCTATCTGTTTAATTGTCTGCTCCCTTCACCTGCCACTAGCACATCAGCACCAAGAGCACAGCAACCCTCTCCATCTTGTTTACTGCTAGTGCCTAGAACAGTGCCTGGAACACAGTAGGTGCTTAATAAATGTTTGATGAATGAAGTCCCTACAGTCCTCTGAAATAGGTTCTATTTATCCCTGTTTTATGGACCCGCAAGTCAAAGCTAAGTTATGAAATCAGCAGAGCTGGAACCTGACCACAAAAGGTCAGCTGGTCTGGAACCTGGGGATGATGGAAACAGCAGCAGCTGAAATGAGGCCTGGGTTTGGATTTCAGCTCAGCCCAACTTGCTTTTTGGCCTTGGGCCAGTGACTAACCTCTCTGAACTTTGTTTCCCCGTCGGGGGTAATGCTAGTCCCTGCCACCTAAGGTTTGTTTTGCGATTAAATGAGTTAACATATATAAAATGCTTGGCATGCCCTAGGAATCCTCAACATTATTTGGGGGAGGTAGGACAGCAGGAGAGTTACCAGCCTGGCTTCTGGGGCCAGTCAGACCCGGGTTCGAGTCCTGGCTGTGCTCCTGAAGAGTTGTGTGAGTCTGGGCAGGCTGCTTCTGTTCCTTGAGCCTCAGTTTCCTCATCTGTGAAACGGGGGTGATGAGTGCTGTGGCAGCCGAGGGTGGTGTGAGATCACCCGAGGCGGTGGCTGCGTGAATAACTGCCGCCCCGGTGGGGACAGGTTCCGAGGCCCCAAGCCCCGCCGCCATGAAGCTGAACGAGCGCAGCCTGGCCTTCTACGCCACCTGCGACGCCCCGGCCGACAACGCGGGCTTCCTGTACAAGAAGGGCGGCCGGCATGCGGCCTACCACCGCCGCTGGTTTGTGCTGCGCGGCAACATGCTCTTCTACTTCGAGGACGCGGCCAGCCGTGAGCCCGTGGGCGTCATCATCCTGGAGGGCTGCACTGTGGAGCTGGTGGAGGCGGCCGAGGAGTTCGCCTTCGCCGTGCGCTTCGCTGGGGCCCGGGCCCGCACCTACGTGCTGGCGGCCGAGAGCCAGGCCGCCATGGAGGGCTGGGTGAAGGCGCTGTCGCGGGCCAGCTTCGACTACCTGCGGCTGGTGGTGCGCGAGCTGGAGCGGCAGCTGGCAGCCGTGCGCGCAGGCGGCGGCCCAGCCCCGCCCCGCCGACCCAGCGCGCTCCCGCCCAAAGAGAATGGCTGTGCCGTGTGGAGCTCGGAGACGCCCGCCGCCCCCAGCCCCCGGCCCGGCCCCGAGCCCCCGCCACTGCCGCCCCGCCGGCGGGCCTCGGCGCCCAACGGGCCTCTCGACTCGGCCTCCTTCGCCCAGCTGCACGAGTGGTACGGGCAGGAGGTCAGGGCGCTGAGGGGCCAGTGGCTCCGCAGCCAGGCCCAGCCCTGAGGATAGGGCTGAGGGCCGGAACCAAGAGGAAGCGGTCAAGGCCAGCCTTGAGGCCAGCACTGGTCCTGGTTCTGGTGCCACTCCAGCCCCAGGCCCTGCTCTGACAGGCCCAGCCCTGAGACACGGGGACCTGGTCCTGAGGGCGGTCGCAGTCGGCGTAAGCCCTGAGGTCCCTGCCTGGTCTTCTCTCGGGGACTCAGGCTCGGAGAAGATGCTGGGTTCTGAGGGGTGCTTTGGGACCTCTGTCATTCAGAGAAAGCCCAGCCTTGAGGAGGCCATCGTGCCTGATCCTCAGGAGAAGCCAGGCCCTGGGTGATCCTCAAGCAGCCGGAGGGCTGGTTTTGTGGGAACTGTAGCCCCCAACCCAGCCCTGCAGGTGCCTCCGTCGCCTGTCCCAAATCACCTAGCCGAGGCTTGTTGCTGGCAACAGGCATCCACTGAGGCAGCTGGGACCTGTGAGGATCTGTGGCCTGGAAGGCACATGCCCAGTCAGCGCTGGTCCAGAGGCTCCAGACTGGGCCTCACGCGGACAGGAGGCTGGGCTGGGCTACACCACACCTGGGCCTGACCCTGTGGCTCCAAGACCCGCCGGAGGAGCTGCCTGGCTGCCGCCTGCCTGCCTGCCTCCATAAGCGTGGGCTTTCACGTGTGCCCAGCACCGTGGGATGGCCTGGTCCCCGGGGCTCCCGGCCTGGAGTGAGGCCGAGGCAGCACTTTCCCCCGGGGCCTCAGCCAGGCCTTGAGGTGGTGCTCCTGGGACCGTAGCGGCCCTCTGGCTTCGGGCCACATCTGTGCTCCTGTGGCAGCCCTCACGCTCTCCCAGCACTGCTTAGCCACATCCTCTGTCTTTTCCCAGAGCCAGCCTGGGGCAGGGCCTCTCGGGAGCTCGCCTGACCTCGTCCAGTCCTGGGCTGGGCAGCTGTGGCCTGAGCTGACTTTCCAGCAGGTTCCCCTAGGGAGGAGGGGCCATGAGCTGACTCACGGCCCAGAAAGGGCCCAGGTGCCAATCTGACAGGGGCAAAGAAGCAGCTGCAAAGCCGTATTTGGCTTCCAGAACCCTCTCCCTCCATCACAGCCCCTCTCTGAGCTCACAGACTCAGCCCCCTTCTCGCCCACAATATTCCAAGAGGGAGACCAGGTCTCGCTTTGCTTCGAGACCAACTTGTTTTTCACTCACTACAGTGGCCGTTCTTCATCCAGGGAGAATCTCGGGGGGCTGGGACACCCCTGGCCCTCAAGCTGGGTCATGTTTACAGTCCTCAGTGCCCCCAAATTGGGACCCCCTGAGGACACCCCTGCCCTAATCTTTATTTCCCCTGAGGCTCCCTCTTGGTGACAGACAGACGCGGCCCTTAGCCCCTTCCTGCTGGCTTTGGAGACCTTGGACCTTGGGGAAGAATGGGGAGCTGTCTGTGTGTCTGCAATCACCAGCCTACTGCTGGCTCAGTTGACTGGAGCTTCAGGTTTAATTTAAATACTTAGGGTGTTTTTTTCCCTAGCAACAAAGCTTGGTGTTTTCACTGCTTTTGTTCCTTGTTGGCTGGTGGGAAGGGATAGGGTGCCTGGTTCTGGGTTTGGCCAGTGAGGGGGGCGGGGATAGTTGGCACTGCCCCCAGGGAGAGGGCAAGGAGCCTTGGATGGAGACACAGGAACCTCAAGAATCTCACCTGGTTCTTTGCCTTCTCCCTGGCAAGCCCTGCTCTCCTGCAGGTGCTCTGGGGGTCTTGGTACGCTTTCCATGCCCCTCTTCCCCAAGTCCTCAGTGGTGGGGATGGGGATGGCAGCTCTTGTCCACAGGCTTTGGGTCTCAGGGGGTGTTAGGAACTGCCCAGTGCCCATGTCCTGGCCAGACCTAGCTGATGTGGTGAGGTGTTGGCCCCAGTCCTGGTGTAGGTTTACAAGCACTAAAGGTACAATCTCCCCCCACCCACCCCCAAAGCACAACCTGCGGTCAGGCTGCCTCCGGAGTTGGGCTGGGGAGAGATAATCAGGCAGTCTGGGAGAGGGATATAAAGGCTAAAATAAAATAAACAAAGGTTTGTCAAGTAATGGCTGGTTATATCATTCTTTTCCCCCATCAAAGTCCTGGATTGATTTGCCTGGCAGAGCCAGGGGCAGGCCCTACAGGAGAAGCGACTAGAGTGTGCTGCGTGCTCCCTGGCTGATGCTCTGTCAGGCACATTCTTACAACCTCTATGGCAGATACTGGCCCCCTTTTACAGATGAGGAAACTGAGGCTCAGAGAGGTTAAGAAATCTTCCAAGTTCACACAGCTGAAAAGTGTCAGAGCAGGGACATAAACCTCTGGAATCCTGTGGGAAAAGGCAGAGTCTTTGAGAGGAATATGAGGAAATGGCGTCCCAAAGTTCCTTTTCAGAGGGGAGAGAAGACAGGGGTAAAGATGAGGATAAAAAGTCAACTGTGGGCTGAAGACCTGACAATTGGGAGGGATGCCAAAGGGAAAAGCCAAAATTTGGCTCTTCTCACTGATCAGTTCCTGGTGGCTGCCTCTGGGCCTGGAGTGAGGAGGATTCCGGCACCAATGCTAGTTCAGAGGGAAATAGCCTGTGATTGATTAGTGATGTCTGCTGTGAGCAAAGGGCAGATGGTGGCAGTATTTATGCTGTATATCTGTTATCTCAGCCTCAAGTGTGTTTGCTGGGCTAATGGAGGGTTTACAGATGGGAAGGGGCTGGCCCAAGGTCATCTAGTATGATAGACTAGGCCCTAGGTCCTCTTGATGTGGATCCAGAGCTTGGTCACATGTCTCCTGCCAGCCGGGAAAAATCATGCACATTCAGGAAAATGTGGCTTAGGATGAGCAACCTACAGTCCTTGGTCTGCAGAACAAGTTCAAAGAGGGAGAAAAATACCAAGGTCAGGGAATCATGCTACTCGTGAGCAACCAGTACATGCTGAGTAATTCCTTCCACCTCTCCTGGGACCCCAGCTGACAGACGGGGTTGGGGAAGTGCCTCCCCACATAGGCTGAGTCAGGGTGCTGCCCGTGGCATTTGTGACCGCGGCCACTGCAAGGCCTGAGGCCCAGAATGGGGGAAATAGCCGGAGAGGCAGCCCCAAGAGGGAGGGTCACAGGTGAGCCCTCACCTGCCTGGCTTCTTAGGAATGAAACGGGGAGGGGTGACAAGTCAGTCAGTACCTCAGTGTTGTGCGTCCACCTGCTAACAGTGTTTCCTCTTGACCCCGGGGAGGTGTTCGGGCCATGAGCCTGAGGAAGACCACAGCATCCCAGGAGTGTGACAAAGTTGAGGAAGTTGTCTTCACTTGAACAGTGTTTGGAGGATACTGTATGTGTTCAGAAGGAATATTCTGAGAAGCCACTTGGGGTAGGGGATGAGAACCTCAAGGAGTGCAATTAGGCCAGAAGTAATGGGCTCACTGCCCAACATCCATCCACGCTAAATGATTAGTCAAATTCGGTCAGTTGTGCTACTCCCATTTGATATTCAGGGACTGGCTAAACTTGACCTGCTAAAGAATGGCTGTGTGTTGGGGGTGGGTGAAATGAGTGAAGGGGGTCAACTGTATGGTGATGGATGACAACTAGATTTGTGGTGGTGGTCACTTTTAGTGTATATAGATGTCGAATTATTAATGCTGTGCACCCGAAACTCATATTAAAAAAAAGATATATACAGGGAATTCTCCAGTGGTCCAGGGGCTGGGACTCTGTGCGTTCAGTGCCGAGGGCCCGGGTTTGATCCCTGGTCGGGGAACTAGGATTCCCGCAAGCTGCAGCCGAAAAAAAAAAAATATATATATATATATGTGTATATATATATATATATATATATATATATATGTGTCTATCTGTGCCTGACAGATAAGAGTAGAAGGGCATTCTTGCTTCTAAAAAGAGACACAATGAAGAGCTCTGGAAGTAAGCTATGTCTGAAGCCTGGAGCCATGGTAGCCATCTTGTGATCCTGAAGTAGGCCACGTTAAGGAGAACATCCCCTGCTGAGTTTAGCACACACTGGAAAATATCCTTGACCTGCTGCATCAATGGACCTGAGAACCCGCCCTTCTTCTGGAAGTCCTGTTGTTTGAGGTAATAAATGTGTAAAGCTTCGAGGGGGACTTTTTTTGTTATTTGCAGTCAGAGGCTTCCTAACGGATAAGCTTGAGTGACTGCAGCTGTTCCCTTTAAGGAGCATGGCTCTGGGTAGCCAGCCACAGACAGGGCTGTTGCCAGCTCACTGGGGTGAAGGTTTGGGCTAGAGTGGATTGTCTAGCACAGTAGAAGGGCCACTGTTTTGCTCATCCTCTCCATGGATGCCTTCCTCTCTCCTCTTCTGAGTGGGACAAATATTGAAAGAATAGCACTCTCTGCCTCCCCCACTTGTGGCTCAGTATCTTGTATGTTCCTCAACAGGGCTGTTTTGTCTCTACTCTGGCTAGATCTGGTGCCAACTGTCCACTCCCCCCTCACGCAATCCCTCCCCAGATCACCTTACCTCACCTTACACAAACTTTGTTATGGAAAAGGCCCTGCTACTTGTCCCAACTTCTAAAGTCGCAGCATTCAAAATAACTCCTCCACGGCAGTAAAACAATAAACCGCTTAAGCCCAGCTGCAGGCTTCGCGTTTTCTGATGAGGACTGGGCCCGTGAGCTGTTTTCCACTTAGGGTTTCAAAACAGTTGCCCGCTCCTGACAGAGGGGTCAGAGCTGCCTCGGCTTGGTCTCCCCGTGCTTGGGGCCATGGCTCTGTCTGTTCTTGCCAGCTGCAGCTCTGAAAGCACTTGGGCACCGGGGCTGCTGCCACTGCCCTCTCTTCATCGTTCAGGGGCACTATGGTCATTGTTTCTCTAGCTACGGGGCCAAGAAATCCTGGGGTGGTGCAAGTAGGCCCCCTAGACTGCAGCTCCTTGAGAGCAGGGACAAGTCTGCCTCCCATGTGCCCCCAAGGCCTGGCACAGTGCCCGGCACAGGTATGTCAAAAATTGCCTCCCGTGCCCATTCAGCTCACGTGATTCTACCCTCCCTGACCACAGCTGCTTGGGCAGGAGTTGGTCCCGAGACACAAGCTGAGCCAATCAGGGTCCAGGGAATTTTGAATCAGCGGGAGTGGGTGTTGGGGGTGTGTATGGATGGACAGACTAAGTTGGGTATGAGGCGGCCTTAGAGAGAGAACAAACAGCTCAAGATAGACTGCAGTGTTCCGAAGCCTGGTTGAATTTCCTGCCTTTGGGTTTCACAAGGTTTACTCTGGATCTTCCCAATAAACGGTGTGCACATCTTTAAGTGGATCACAATTTCTTTCAACCCAACAGTTACCGACTACACCAAGACACGCAGTGAATGTTTGTTCTGTACTCCTATGCTCTTCTGTTGCACCAGCATCCTTCGTAGGGCCTGGCACACACAGTGAGGCCAAACAAAGCAGAATGAATTAGAACTGCCTCCCATTTACTGAGACCTATGTCTGAGTCACCTGGTTGGGGTGGGGTGGGGATAGTTCTTAAAATGCAGATTCCTGGGCTCTGGCTCCAGGAATTTTGGTCAGGAGGTTGGAGCAGGACCCAGGAATCTGCATTTTGAGTAGGAAACAAGGGATTTTAGAACCATAGCTTAAGAAATGCTCATTTAATCTTCAAGGAAACTTACAAGGCAGTGTGGTAGCCAGCCTCCCTGACGATCCTTGCCTCCTGGGGTACACACCCTTGTGAAGTCCCTTCCCACACTGAATAACGGCAAACCCGTGTAGCCAAGAGGATACTGTGGAAGCGACAGTGGGGCTTCCAAATCTAGGGTATGGAAGACACCACAGCCTCTGCCTTGCTCACTCTTAGCTGCCATGTTGTAAGGATGCTCAAGCAGCCCCATGGAGAGGGCCACTTGCAGAGGAACTGAAATGCCCAGCCAACAGCCAGCACCTGCTCACCCACCATCTGAGTGTGCCTTCTTGGAAGTGGATTCTCCAGCCCCAGAACAGCCTTCAGATGACTGTAGCCATGGCTGACAGCTTAACTGTAACCTCATGAGAGACCAAGGAGCCAGAGCCACCCAGTCAAGCCACTCCCAAATTCCTGACCTACAGAGATTGTGAGATAAACGTTTATTGTTTTAAGCCACTAAGTTTGGGGTTGTTATGCAGTAATAGACAACAAATACAGATAGATACTATTATGATCATGTCCATTTTACAGATAAGGGAACTGAATCTCATTAAAGGGTCCTCAGGTTACCTAATAGTAGAGAGTCAAACCCAGGCCAGGATGAGTTCAAAGCTATTGTTTTTAATAACTATACCCCAGGGGGCTGGAGAAGGTCACAGACCATTAAAGAGATCAACTGTTTTATCCCTCTCATTGTTGGCCAAGGTAGTCAGGGTGGTCCCTGCCCCATCTCTACTGCTCTGGGGTTTTGAGAGGTGGCTCCAGCCTTCTGGGTACCTGCAAAGCAACACACACCCTGTGCTTTAGCTATGGAGCTCTGTCCTTTAGAGTGACTTCTAGGATAGTCATGCCAGCAGTCATGGGCCAGTCAGCCAGATGAGGTCTAGCTTTTTCATTCCCCAGGAGATGATGGGAGGTGGGGCTGCTGGCCCGATGCGAGCAGCATAATTAGGAAGAAAAGGAGGGCAGGGGTGGGAAGCAAGGACCGCAGAAGCCTGAGGTCAGGGCCTGCACTGGGAGTGGGCCCGGCCACTCTCCTTTGGTCTGCCGTCTCCTCAGGCAGATGGAACCTCCTAACCTCCTGGAAGTGCAAGTCTGACCACAGCAACCCCCTGCCTCATACCACCCATGGCTCCCCAGTGCCCTCAGGAGAAAGGCCTATTTCCCACCATGCCCCAGGGGGCTTCAGGATCTAGCCCTTGTCCCTCTTCTTCCCTGCACCTCAAATTCTAGCCTCCTTTGGATTTGTTTCCCCATGTCCTTGTCCCTGTCCCATGTCTTGCCAGCTATTCCTTCTGCTCTCCTCTTATGCTTCTCTAAATCCTATTGTCTTTCAGGGGTCAGCTGAGATGCCTCCTCCTCCAGGAAGCCTTCCAGGATCCCCCTATTCACGCTCTCGTGGTGTTTCCACCACTGAAGCACTGAGCACACAGCAGGTACTCAATCTATAGTTATTACCTGGATGAACAGTCGCCATATTGCCCCCAGCTCAGCTCTCTCCTCCCTTCTGTTCCTTGATCTAAACCTGCCTCTGCCTGTAAGGCCTCCCCTGCCTTCTCATTCCTCTCTGGTCTCTCCACTCTTGCTCTCCCATGGTCCCTAGTTCAGAATTCCACATTTCTGTGTTTTTGCTGCATTTTCCACTCCAGATGGACAGCAACTGCAGACACAATGTCAACACCAAAGCTAATAATGGTCCAGAGGGAGCTTTGGTTCCCAGAGCCCAGGGGGCACCTACGTCTACAGGTTCTTAGGTGACTTGTGTGTGTCAGATGAGGCTTCCTCCTCCACTCCTGCCCCCACCTACAACCCGCGGCCACATCCTGAGGATTTCTGACTTCTGACCTCCGGAGCTGCAAACCAAGTGTCCAAAAGGCCTCTCTTTGGCTTTACTTTGGAGCAATTAGTTACCCTAACCAAGGAGGAGTTCACTCATCATTTCATTCCCACCGCAAGGACGTGTGGAAAAACTGGGGTGATCAGAAGGTTTCCAGACAAAGAGGAAAGGTCTGTCTTGGGATGCCACGTGCCCTTGGCTCACGGGTGAATAATGTTTAATGCCACTTAGGGAACTCTCTTGACATTATTGGTCAAGAAAAAACAAACCTCCTGCAGCTTGATACACAGAGAGACTCACCATCATGGGTTGAAGGAACCCAACCCCCACTCATGAAAACAGTACGGAACACTGAGCCCTTATGTGCCACACACTGTCTTATGTGTTTTACAGGCATCATCATTCCTGATAATGACCCTTTGAGTTGGCTGCTGTGATACCCCCATTTTACAGATGGGGAGACCGAGGCCCTAGTTATACAGCTGGGAAAGGGGCACTGCTGTGTTGGCCACCAGAAAGCCCCTCTTGGCACTTTTCCATCAGGAGTCTAGAGGCACCCGCCACTCACACACTCCACTGAGGTGGGCACAGCTTGTAAACTGGCTGGTCTTAGGGCCACGGCCTGTGGCCCCCGATTGGGGCAGGGCACAGTCTCAGCTCCTCAGATCTAGACCCCAGAGTCTAACCAGCTTCCACCTTCTGCAATGAGTGGAACGTGTATTCCAATCCTTCCATCTTCCTTTGTTGGAGCCCACAGCACAATCACCAACCGAGATGCCCACAGGACCTGGGCAGGTGGTGCAGGTGCAGACACATGTCCTAACGGGGAGGGCCACTCCCCAGCTAGCTGCTGTCATGTTGGAATGTGGGCCCTGTGTGGCCAGATCTTACTGTTTTCCAGTGAAGCCAGTAATCAAGATTTTTAATGAAATTAGAACATTCTTTAACGCCATACACAAAAATAAACTCAAAATGGATTAAAGACCTAAATGTAAGACTGGATACTATAAAACTCTTAGAGAAAACACTCTTTGACATAATCGCAGCAGTATCTTTTTCGATTCGTCTCCTAGAGTAATGGAAATTAAAAAAAATAATAAACAAATGGGACCAAATTAAACTCAAATGCTTTTGCACAGAAAAGGAAACCATAAACAAAACGAAAAGACAACCCACAGAATGGGAGAAAATACGTGCAAACGATGCTACTGACAAGGGATTAATCTCCAAAATTTACAAACAGCTCATGCAGCTCAATATCAAAAAAACAAACAACCCGATCAAAAAATGGGCAGAAGACCTAAATAGACATTTCTCCAAAGAAGACATACAGATGGCCAAGAGGCACATGAAAAGATGCTCAACGTTGCTAATTATTAGAGAAATGTAAATCAAAACTACAATGAGATATCACCTCACACCAGCAGAGTGGCCATCATCCAAAAGTCTACAAACAATAAATGCTGGAGAGGGTGTGGAGAAAAGGGAACCCTCCTACACTGCTGGTGGGAATGTAAATTTGTACAGCCACCATGGAGAACAGTATGGAGGTTCCTTAAGAAACTAAAAATAGAGCTACCACATGATCTAGCCCACTCCTGGACATATATCCGGTGAAAAACACGGTTTGAAAGGATACATGTACCCCAGTCTTCACTGCAGTGCTGTTTACAATAGCCAAGACATGGAAGCAACCTAAATGTCCATTGACAGATGAATGGATAAAGAAGATGTGGTACATATACACAATGGAATATTACTGAGCCATAAAAAAGAATGAAACGATGCCATTTGCAGCAACATGGATGGATCTGGAGATGATCATACTAAGTGAAGTCAGACAGAGAAAGACATGTCATATAACATCGCTTATATGCGGAATCTAAAAAAATCATACAGTTGGACTCATTTACAAAACAGAAACAGACTCATAGACGTAGAGAACGAACTTACGGTTACCAGAGGGGGAAGGATGGGGGGGAGGGGTAGATTGGGAGTTTGGGATTGATATGTACACACTGCAAATTTAAACTAGATAACCAACAAGGACCTATTGTATAGCACAGGGAACTCTGCTCTGTAATAACCTACATGGGAAAAGAATTTGAAAAAGAATAGATACATGTACATGTATAACTGAATCACTTTGCTGTACACCTGAAACTAACACAACGTTGTTAATCAGCTGTACTCTAATATTAAATAAAAATTAAAAAAGAATATATTAATACAAGAAAATCACGATTTTTATGTGACAAGCCCCCATATTTTCATGGTGGCAAATGAATTTAAAAACCAGTTTTTAAAAGTACCGTAAAACACCTAAGGGCCAGATCTGACCCCCAATTTGTACCCACAGCTCCAGAACAAAGCAAGCAGGACACGCAGATGTTATTATACAATTCTGTATTGAGCGACGCATTTATTACAGAACGTGTTCCTTTTTTTTTTTTTTAATTTAAACAAAGTTCATCAATCTCTCATAGAAACAGTCTTGTGGGTTTTTGTTCTGTGTTTACCGTTATAGGACGTGAACCTGACAAAGTTGTTCACAGGTCTGCTAGCTTTAAGTACAACAGGATTTCCGTGTTCAAAAGACTATACTAAGTGCTTATTCAAATCCCGTCACACAAAAGCCAGATTTAGTCCTCTAAGGATTGCAGTCTGCATGTAAGCCTGGATTTCAATGCTGCGTGGGTTTCAACAGTAAAAAGTGGTGTGTCCCCCACGGTTGCCTTAATTGGGACAGGGTGGCTAAAATGAGATGTTTCGTTTGTTCCAGATTTGATTACTCTGAAAATTGGTCACTGTTTCCTATTGTCAAAATATAAAAATACCTTCATCTGGATAAAAATGTATACAGTGGAAAACTCTTCAATGCATAGCCTGGGTGTATGGAAAAGGAGGTTTTCCTGCAGGGTTTGCATTGTTCTTCATTGATTGGTGTGGAGACTGCAGCCTGGGCTGGGTGCATGAGAGTTGAGATTTCTGGAACACCCCTCAAATGACCCCTTCTGGTCACTGGATTTTGCTGGCCTGGGCTTCAAAATGTTCGCTGCATCCTTGAAACCCCTGTCAGCCATCTTTCCCCCTGGTACTGGGTTGGCACCGATTATGACCACCTTTTCATTGTCATTCTGGATTCAGCTGGGAAGTCACCCAACTCAACCTTCCCACAGAGTTTGAAAAAGTAAAAGAAATAATAACAGGAGAGATTCAACAACCAATATGGTGGCTGTTCCATCCAAATTGGGAACTCTTCCCCTAAAAACCAGGGTGATGAAGACACTGGAGGGTGGGCTTCTTTGAGTTGAGGGGTTGAGTCTTTGTTCTCAAAAAGTTCATGTGTTAGAAGGCAGGAAGTTGGACTTGAGACAGGGATATGGTGGTCATGCTGAGGTGAACTCAACCTTTTAGCTTCATTCTGCATAAACCTGGAGGTGCAGACTTCCAGAAAGCATCAGGGTCAACTTGAGAAAGATGATGATGAGAAGGGGAGCTGGGGTCTCTAGTTGGATGAATCTACTTCTTGGTGCTGGGCGCTGAGCTGGGTGTTTGTGGGACGACCAACGCTGTTATTTTCTTAAAACACAAAGAGAGGAAGATGGCGGCCACAGTCTTGCTCTGGAAAGCCAGTGGGGAAACTTCCTGCACTGAGGCCACGATTCAGGCTGGGGGGTGGGGTCACTCTGGTTCGAGCGCCACCCTCTAATCACCTACCCCCATACCTGGCTTTCCGAAGGATTCGGAACCACATCTTGTCTACAGACGGACGAGATGGATTGTCTACCCCCTGCGGTCCACAGGTTTCTGACAAGAGGGAGTGTAAGCAGTTTGTTTTGTACCATGTTACATCTCAGATAGGATGGTCGGCCACAGCCCACATCTCTACAACATTTACAACGGCATGGGACATTCTGTGTTATCAAGGTTGCATAACAGACCACCAGAATGAAACACATCCTCAACGGCATCAAGGTTTTCATTTAGAGTCTTCTGGACTTTCTCTTTTCAACATGGTTTCTGGAAGGGCAGTAGCAATGGACTGTGTCTCACAGACAGACATGGGAAAAAACCGTGGTTCAAAGGTTATCTGAATTTTGGTCAGTCTTATAGTGTTTTGTGATGGCTTTGAACAACTGTCTCCTTTTAATCTCATCTAGTGGCAAAAATGACACAACTTCAGTGTATACTTCGCAACAGTTGTGACGGTATCCTGATTTCATAACTCTCTGTAATATCAAAACAGCATCAGCTGGGAATAAATTCCAAAGGATCCTTTATTAAAATATCTAAAAGAGGTCTATAAATATTTACTTTTCTAAAAGAGTTTGGAGTTTCCAGGGGAAGAATGTGGCGCCACTTTGCTTCTGCCTCCTGTAGAGGGGCCAGATTGGAGAAGGGGGTGATCCCCGGGGCAGGGGCTGCTGAAAAGGGGAAGCAGAGGCACCTGCCTCACCTGCTCACTCACGACTTCACGGAACCGGGATCACAACCAAAACTGTCAAGCGGCGCGACACTGCGGTCCACGTTTTGATGGCTGAGCTCCTCCCTTCCTTACCCCGCCCTGAGTGAGAGGGAAGGTGGCCCCCGCGGCGAGCCCCTTGCCCCCACCTTTAGAACTCCCACTCCAGGGCCTCCTCGCGATTGGCAGCCCTCTCCAGCCGGTAGATGATGCTGTTCAGGTTGGCCATCTTCTCATGCCGCCGCTGCAAGTTGGGGTTCACCTTGGTGCTGGGGTGCAAGGCCCCGGTTGCGTCGGCAGTGGGGCTGGCACTCGGCACTTTGGCAGGGAGGGTGCCGGGTGGGGATGGGGAGATGGGGGCTGAAGAGGAAGGAACAGGTGACACAGACATCATGAGGCCCGGCGAGGAGGCAGCTGAGGGTGAGTTCAGTGACACCTCTAGGCTGCAGCGTGAGGACTCCGAGGCCGACTTAAAACTTAGAGGGTCCGGGTGTAGCCACTCCCCGCCCTCGCTCTCCTGGAGGGGCTGTAGCGAGGGGCAGGCTGGGGTGGCCCCGCCTGGAAGAAGGAGCCCAGGGGCTGCTTTTGGGAGTCCGTCGTTACCCAGAGGGTCAGGATGCACCTCTTTGGGGGAAACTTGGCCTTTGTCCAGCTCCTTTGAGTCCTGGCTGCCGGCCTCTTCCTCAGCATCCTCAGTCTGTTCCTGTTTAATCCTCATTTGCGTCTTGTCCTGGGTGGTCAGGGGTGTGATGCTCTCCTCGGGACCCTCCTGAAGCTTTAGTTCCTTCACAGTAGGCTTTTGGTCCTCAGCCTCAGAGTTGGGGCTCTGCGGAGTGGGGTCTGGGTGGGAGTGGCCTGGCGGTAGGATGCCAGGACCCCCACTGGGGTCGAGATCTGGTTCCTCTTGGGTCCCCTCCACCAACATCTCCCGGCGCATCCGGGACCTGGGGCAGAGACGGCGGTGAGCAAGGGGCTGGACGGGGACCGGCTAACCCTGGAGTCAAATCACATGAGTGGCCTTCTGACCCCACCCACTTCCCTGGGGGCTCACTAGGCATAAGCTTCTTCACATGCAGCATCTTAGTAAGTCCTCTCAACAACTCTGCAAGGTGGGTGCTATTATTATCCCCACTTCATAGAGGAGGAAACAAGGCTCAGAGATGTTGAATGACTTGCCCCAGGTTTCACAGCCAGTAAGTGGCAGAACCAGGACTTGAACTCAGGATTGTTGGATCCCAAAGCTCACAATCTAGACCTGTGCTGTCCAGTGCAGTGGCCACTGGTCACATGTGGCTCTCTCATTATTAAAGTTTTTATACTGATCACATGTTGAAATGGTTATATCTGTATATACTGAGCTAAATAAAATATACTATTACATTAATTTCATCTGTTTCTTTTTATTTTTAATGTGGTTACTAGAAAAGTTTATATTATATATGTGGCTTTCACTGTATTTCTATTGGACAGCACTGTTTTAGAGCATTTTTCAAAGTCAAACCCAGATCTAGTTTGTGCCAATAACCCCCTGCTTCTTTCCTGGAGGGACTCTTAGACATCAGCCCAGGAGGGGAAACTGAGGCACACAGAATAACTTGTCTAGGTCACCAAGGCACACAGAGGCAGAGCTGGGACCAGTAGCTGGGAACCCTGAACTCCAGTCCAGAACCCATCCTCTCTTCACTTCAATGGCCTCCCTGTTGTCAGAGGGAAACTTATATGTTTTAGAGCAGGAAATGATAGGAATGAGTCTAACTCCATTAACTATTTTCCTAATAGCATGAGGTCCAGAGAGGTCAAATCACTCGTCCAAGGTCATAGAGCGACAGGGCTTCCTCAGCATCTATCTTCAATGCTGTAGCCCTCTGCCCTTTTTTATTAATGACATCATATATTAATACCATTATTTATAATATTAATAATAAAGTACATGTTACTGATAAATAATACATTTATAAATTTTAATTATAAACATCATAATGATGGGTGCTTATCATGTACCAGGTACGGGGCCAAGCACTTTTGCAGGTTATTTCATTTATTTTTCATAATAACCTTATGAGCAGGATACTAGTCTCACTCCCACTGACAAAGATTACAAGGCTCAAAGAGGCACTGGGACTGCTACGGTCACACAGCCAGCAAGTAGTGCAGTTGGGCCCTGAACCCAGCGGTCCGGCTACACTCTCCTGCCTCCCTGGCTCCCTGCCCAGGTGGGGGATGGCGCCCCATCCCAGGATCCTGAGCCTGGAGGGACTGTGAAGGGTGATCTGGTTCACTTCTCTCTCTCAGTTCCTAATCCCTCCATAAAGGTAGCCTTGCCCACCTTCCAGGAGATTCTGTCATCTCCTTCAGTCCCCTCTAGAGGGAAAAGCTGCTGGGACCAGGGGGAGCACTAATCGTTTCCGGTAAGGTGGGATCTGAGGGTGTTTTGGGATGGCTCAATGCCTGAGCCTCTGTCATTAGAGCTTCCAAACTGTAGATCAAGTATAAATATGAGGCTAATAGTCATTTACACCATAGTAAAAATTAGTCTTTTTCTTCAATTCCTGACTCCCAAATCTGTAGCAGGTCCTCCCTGGTAATTTTTTCTGAAAACATCCTATTGTTCACCTTTCCTAGAGCTCACTGAAGGTTGTAATGATACATTAATATAAGTACTCATTTGATAGTGACCTTCCCTGCTGGTCTGTAAGAGGTGCTAAGGGCAAGGACTTTGTCTTGTTCTCTTTGGTGCTTGGTACAGAGTTGGTGCTCAATAAACATTTACTAAATGAAGTAATGTATTCTTCTACAATTAGAACTCTTTGAGAGTGGTTTCTTTTAGGAGTGGAATTCTCTCTGCTCATTCAAAGCCCAGCTCAAAGGCCACCTCTCTATAAAGATTTCCCTAGGTAGAATTCCCTTTTCCCTCAGCCCCGTATTCATTCCTGTTTTACAGAATTTATTAGGTTGTTGCAAAATTATCTGGTTTGTGATTTTAAGCTCCCTAGGGCAGGGATGATAGCTTTGAACCCCTGTATCTCCTGACCCTAGCTCACTGTGCATACATGGCAAATATTTATTGAATGAATACATTGAATAATAATGGAGGGCTCAGTTCCTGTGGGAAACAAGAGGGGAGAGAGTGTCCCCTGGGAGGGAAGGAGGGCATGAGGCTTTAAGGACCTATGTCATTTGCTGTTTGGCAGGCTCTGGGTCTGAGCAGGATAATATGCAATATTTTACAAAGTATGTACGCTTGAAGTGTTTCATTTGATCCTCAATTCAGCACTGTGGGGTTAAGTATTAGCTTCCTTATCTGTAAAATAGGGATGAGACTCAGAAAGGTACAGTGACTTGCTCAATAACACACAGCCAAGGTGGAACTTGAACTCAGGTCTGTGTGATGCCCATGCCTGGGCTGTGGAGAGAGACTTCAGGCATTCCACCCTTCCAGGCTCCTCCTTCCTCTTCTCTCTTGGGGGTCAAGAGACTCTCCTCTCTGGCACCACAGAGGCACCAGAGACATTTCTTGCTCAACAGGCTTGGTGGGGAGTGCCTCAGAGATGGTCCTCGAAATCCCATCAACCCTTCTCTGCAGGGCTCTCAGGAAGCCCTTCTGCGGTCTCCTTGGAAACTGCTGGACTCAGCCAGTCAATGCCCTCAGGCAGCCCAGCCCACCGCAGGTCAGCTACTCCTAAGACTAGGAACTGGTGAGTGGGAGAAGGCACCATAGAAATAGGAATCACCCATTCCCTGAGGTGGATGGTGCCCGAGGGGCTGCCACAGGGGTTTCCTTTGGCCTTAGAAGTGGGAGAGGCCAAGAGCCCCAAATCGGGGCTCTGACACAAGGTTCGGTGGGTAGTTAAGGTTCCTCAGGGCTGTGCCCCAAACACCATTCCCTGTCCCTTCATAGACGCGGAGCAAGCTGGGTGAAGTCATAATAAAGACAGTGACAATAATGATGTCAACACCTACCACAAACTGTGTGCCAGGTATTTTATGTAAATACGTTGGCCCATCAAATCCTCAGGACAACTATATGAAGTAGATCCCATTATGGTTCCCATTTTATAAGTTAGAAGACTTGACGCTCAGGGAGGTGAAGTCCCTTGCCCAGGCCTCACAGCTGGAAATGGTTGAGCTGGGATTTATCAATAGATCCAGGTCTGCCTATGTTATAAAGCAATATGGTCCTCTTATCTCCCAGAGGCCACGCTGGGCTCCCTCCAGGCCCCGGGACAGGGAAGGGGGGCCGGCTGAGACCCCTTCCCACCCTCCCAGTGGCCACCCACTCAGTATCCCTACCTGTAGTTGTGGAACCAGTTGATGACGGTGTTGGTCTTGAGGTTGAGCTGGAAGGAGAGGAGCTCTATGGTCTGCTGGGAGGGGTAAGGCTCCAGCTGGTAGGCCTTTCTCAGCGCCTCCTTCTCCTCAGGGGCCAGCACTACTCGCGGCTTCTTGATTTGCAGGAGGCTCAGGTCCTGGGGCTGCAGGCAGGGGCTGGGGCACTCGGAGCGGGTGGCTGGAGACTCACTGTCTGAGCCGGTGCTGATGAGGCCGTACCTGCGCTTCAGGTAGGCTGGGGCGGGCGGGCGGGTGGGGGAGGGAGTGGGGGAGGGCTGAGAGCGGCCGACCAGAGGCCCATTGCTACCCGAGCTGAACCAAGCATCAGCTAGCGGTCCTCAAAGCCCTCCATGCCCCAAACGTTGGGACCCCCACGCAGTCTCAGCCTTTTCTCCTTTCTTACTCTCCTTTCACTTCCTCCGCGCGAGACGCGCTCGCCTACCCACACCTGGTCATTAGCACTCTAATTGTTAACATATGTAGAAGGTTCGCCTCACAGACAGGAAGGAAGTGCTCGAAAAAGGGTGCTCTGGAGCATTCTCTTGATTGTCAGAAGTGTCCCTGAATTTCACTACTTTTGTTGGGGGCAGGGGCAGGACATTAATTTTAAACGAACATAGTAATTGCATGATGCATCTCAGCCTCAAATTGTCAAAATGTAGGGGAAAAAAGGCACACCTCAGAACGGAGGAAGTAAGGCATTAGCGTCTCATTTAATCCGCACAGCAATGCCCTGAGGTAGATGCTGTGACTCTTACTTTCAGATGAAGTAGAATGAGGCACAGAGAAGGGAAGTAACTTGCCCAAGGTCACACAGCCAGGAAGTGGCAGGACAAGTTCTCAACTGTACAGCTGTCTGATGCCAACAGCTGGACTCGGCCCTGCCCCATGTGCCGCTTACAGCTTGGCTTGACCCTGGGCCCTCATCATGAACTGCCTTGGCGCCCTGGATGATGACTTTCCAACTCCTTGTATCTTATTTCCCAACTGGACCCTGAGCTTTTTAAGATCCAGGAATCCCTTATTCACAGCATGAGACTGGGAGGGCACAAACAGGTACTCAATGCCAGCTCATTTTTTCAGGGATATAAAATAATATTAGACCATGTAAGAATCTGCAATTTCTTGTCCACTTCCACAAGGGAGGATTCTTGTTTGCTGGGTCAATTCTGTGCTTTGTTGTGTAGAAGCTGGGTAATGGGCAAAGGAGGTAATACAATAGGGAGGTGATGCAGAGGATGGAGGGATCAGAGAGAAAGGGGGTTTTGCGGAATATACAAAAGATTTTGGAGTAGCTGTCGGTGTGGGGAAGGATGCTGAGAGATGGGCTATTGGAATTTTCAGGGGAAAAGTAGTAAATGTTTTAATGGCTTGCAGTTATATTCTGTGGAATTGCTATTTCTTGCAGCCCCACACCAGACTGAGACTGGACTCACTGGGACCCTGAGTTTATCTGGGACCCTGAGTTTACCCAGTGCTTACCTTTTTTCTCCAGCTTCTTCATGTCTCTCAGCTTCTCCACATTGTGGGGGTCATTGAGCCACAGCTGCATGCGCACAAAGGGCTCCCGCCCCTTCAGGCTCAGCTTGTGCCAGGGTTTTGGTCGGGACAGCAGGTCAGACACGGAGCCCTGTGTCAGCCCCAGGATGCTCTCCCCAAATAGCCGCTGCCCTGGAGACAGGGGAGGAGGGCAACCTGTAACCCCCAGGCTGGGCAGAGGTGCTCCCAGGAGACACAAGAAATAGGCCAGAGACATGGGAGAACCTAGGGAATGTCTCCACTGACTCAGAAGGGAGGACTAGACACATGGGGGAACCCACGCCCAGTGTGTATCTGGAAGAGACCTTTCTGCAAAATGAGATGGAGGCGGGCAGACAGCTACCAAACAAAAATGCTTTCATGATTTAGATGTTCTTCACTCCTAGGGGATCCCTGAAATTGTCTGCAAACTTCATGTGTACAAATTAGTATCACCTTGTCAGAGAGCAAGTTGACAGGTTTTATCAAAATGTCAGTGTGCATATCCTCTGATCCAGCAATTCCACTGCCTGGGATTTATCCTCCAGTTGTATTTGCCCAAGGGCACAAAGACACATACAGACACAGTTTCAGAGGCAGCAGGAAATTGGGAACAAGCAAAATGCTCATCAGTTGGGTAAAAAATGTGGGGCATCCATGGCCTGAAAAATTTTGCAACAGTGACAAAGAATGCAGGTGGTCTATTCATTCTAAACTGGAAGGGTGTCCACAAACAGTGTTAAATTTTAAAAAGCAAGTATAAGGACAGCCTGTGTGTAATTTCATCTATCTAGAAAAAAGAAAAGAAGAAACTAGGTGAACATATATTCTTGTATGTGTTCAGAAAGTGTCAGAGAACGGGGAGGCAGGGGAGATTTTACTTTTTTATTTAAATTTTAATTCTTTATTTCTGTACTATTTGGTATTTTTAAATAAAGATGCCTTATTTTTATTATAGAAATTGTAGTGAAAAGTTGGGGCTTGTGTGTATCCCTCTGGGAGGGGGGCTTGACACCCATTTGAGACTTGGAGGAGTTTGTGATTCAAAAAATTAAAGAATCCAGATTTCTCCTCTGTGCCCCCAGCACTGGATCAGGATTGTGTTAGAGTCTCATTGTTACTGGGATTCTCTAAGTCCTCCTGGAAGGCAGTTTTGAAAGCTGTGGGTTCAGGATTTTAGGTTCTTTTCAGGCCCGTACTGACCTCCCTTGTGTCCCACTCTAGAGACCCAGGTCATTGTCAGATGCCTCCCAGAGGGTCCTGGATGCCCCAGGGCTGACTGGCACCTGCAGGCAGGACCCCCGTGCCTGGGATCTCACTGCCAGCACTTTCCTTAAGGCAAGTAGGAGCGAAGCATCCCTGATTCCCGCCACCCTGTACCTAGGTTGTTGTCTGTGAGGACCTCTTTGACCCTCTTGGTGATGGAGTACGTGTCCAGCTCGGGGGACATGGCCACAATCTCCTGGATGCCCGCTGTGGTCTGGCTGCCTGAGTACATCTTTCCACCCAGCGAGGAGCTGGAGCGTCCCTCCGGCTGCTGGTTCTCCTTGCTGCTCTCCAGTGTCAGACTCAGGGGCTCCTGGGATGTCTTCTCCGGTGGCTCCGTGGGACTAGGGGGTGGGGATGGTGAGGACCTTGGTTCAGTGGGACTGGCTGTGGGCCACAGAGAGACAGAGAAGGCGGTTACTGCAATCTGGCATTGACACACATGGTTTGGGCAGGCTTGTTTGCTAGAGCCAAGAGTTGGCAGCACCCCTTTTGCAACCACCATAGTAATATCTCAGGCAAGGACCGTCCTGGATGTGAAAACTAGCGGATGAAAGTTAGATGAGGAATAGGATATCCACATAGTCCCAAAGTATCTCCCCACAAGATACTTATTAATTACAAAGGGAAAAATAGTAACTTTACAGTACAGCTACCTGCCAGACACCACCTTAACCAAGTGATCAAAGTTAGCATCACCAATCATAGGACAAATAAACAACTGGTGCCTCCTGATACAATGTACTGAGAAGGACACAGCATCACTTCTGTGATTCCTGCCCAAAGTGCACAGTCTGAATCTAACCACGAGGAAGCATCAGACAAAGGTGAACTGAGCCAGTCTACAACATAACTGGCTTCTAGTCTTGAAAGATGTCAAAACTGAAAAACAAAGAGAGGCAGAAGAATGGTCCAAACTGAAAGAGACTGAAGAGACATGACGACTAACTACAAGTTATTCTGAATCTGATCCTGGACAGGGAAAAATAAAATTATATAAAGGTGATTACTGGGACAACAGAGGAAAGTTGAATATAGATGGTGGGTTATGTAACAGTACTGTTATTATTGTAAAATTTCTCATGCTTGGGAAATACTTGTTGGAAACATTTAGGGGTAAAGGGACATGATGTCTTCAATTAATTTCTCAAATGGTCGAGAGAGAAAGAGTACAAATATGGCAAAATTAGCAACTGGTGAATCTGTGTGTAGGGTCTAGGAAGTTGGTTGTTCTATGGCTTCAACTCTTTGGTAAATTAGAAATTACATCAAAATTGAAAGTTAAGGAAAAAAAGGAGTTGGCAATGACCTACAAGCCCAACTACTGGGCATCAGCTAAATAAAATACAATGAGTCCCTGCAGCAATTAAAAATAATGTAATGAAAAGATGTCCACATAAGATGAGTAAGTTCTGGGATCTGATACACAGCATGGTGGCCGTAGTTAACAATCCTGTACTATATGACAGTTGCTGTGAGAGTACAGCTTTAATGTGCTCACTATAACAACAAAATGGTAATTATGTGAAGGGAAGGATATATTAACTAACCTTACCACGGTAAACATTTTGCAATATATACATCTCTCAAATTGTTACATTGTCTACCTTGAACTTACACAGTGTTCTATGTCAAATATATCTCAATAAAACCGAAAAAAGAACAAGGAAAGATGTCCACAGTACCTTGGCATGTTAAAAGAAAGTGAGTTTTAAAACCACATTTTTCATTTGTCGAAAGACATTTTGTGTGAACGTATATTTAAAAACCACTTAGAAGTTATCTTGGGTGGGATGACTTTGTCGAACCTCAGTTCCTGAATCTGTTAAATGGGGCCGTAAGACAAATAGCGCTACACTTGCAACTATCCTACTCAGGGCCTGGAGAGGACTCGAGATAATGTGGATCACCTCTTGAGGAATCAGAGTCACCCACTGGACTTTCCAGTGTGAGCTGAGCCTCTGGACAATCCAGGGAGGGCAGGGGACGTGCCTAGGGAGGTGCCCCTAATAGGGAGGGGCGTGTGGTACAGGGTGTCTAGGAATCCCTGTGCCGGTCCACAAGGTGCCTTCCAGCGAAGTAGGAAGAAAAGGTACCTCTTCCTCAAAGTGTTTAACTGGTGCCTGATGGAAATTTGTTAAGATAAACATAAAAATGTATGATAAGTAGGAAGTAAAGGGAGCCCCATAACCATCCTGCAGTGGCTTTGATTCTAGAAAGGACATCCTGAGCCTCTCTCTGCTCTAGATGGGTTCTTCCTTCCCTGTGGCCAACAAGTAGATCACTCTGATCAGACCACTCTCATGCTTCAGAACCTTCAATGGCTCCCCACTGCCCCTTGCACAAGAAACGTGTACCTCCTTGTCCTGGTATTTAAGGCTCTGGACTCTGTTGTCCCTGCCCACCTCACAGACCTGGAGCAATTCACAGTCCCCTCAGCTACCCCTCTCCCCACAAACCTCCTAGGCTCTTCTAAACCCCTGTGCCTTTGTTTAGGCTGGTCTTCCCACTCTGAAAGCCTTCCTCCTAACCTTGAACTCCTATATATCCTTGAAGACCCAGTCCCAAATGCCCCTTCGCTGAGGTGTACACCTTTGGGGTCTAAGAGCACCTTGACTACAAATTGTCACGCTTCACTCTAATTCCTTGCTTGTGCCAGATCTCTGCCTTACTACATGCAACAACGATGATGGTGACGACAATAATTCATGAAGCTTCCTTTTACTGAGCACTTACATGCCTAGCATAGTGCTATGTGTTTTACACCCATGATGTCAAGTCACCTTCATAACACCCCTAGGAGGTAGGTATGATGGTATCCCCTTTTACAGATGAGGCAACTGAGGCTCAGAGAGGTCAGGCAATATGTCTAAGGTCACAGAGTGGCTAGTGGCAAAACCAGGACTTGAGCTCAGGTATGCTTATGCCCGACATGGTCTTCTCATCCACTAAATACCAGCCCCTGGAAGGCAGAGAACATACGTTAGTCTTAGAGCCTGGGGAAGCAGGAGGTGCTTTTGAGTGAATACATTTCAGTCAGGACCACTCAAATCTGTTTCCACAAACCTGGGGTCCTGGTGTCTTGATCTGTGGGTAAGCAGGGGACAAGATGTCCACCCTCATCTGCACTTACCTCCCTTCCCAAACCGTGTATGATCCTGCCTCCCAGCCTTTGCTTTTGCTGTTTCTTATGCCAAGAACACTATTCTTGATTGTCTTTGCCTAACTCTATCCCTACCTCAAATCCTTCCATTACAAAGAAAAAACAAACAAACAATTAGACATTGGGGAAATGCCAATAAAAATTATGAGATACCACTTCATACCCACTAGGATGGCTACAGTAAAAAATGGAAAAATAGCAAGTGTTGGCTTACTGTTGGAATGTAAAATGCTGCAATTGCTATGGAAAACAATTTGGAAATTCCTCAATAAGTTAAACATAGAATTACCATGTGACCCAGCAATTCCACTCCTAGATATATAGCCAAAGGAATTGAAAACGGGTGATCAAAGAGATGTTCATGTTCAACATTATTCACAGTAGCCAAAAAGTGGCTTACCGCTCCGATGGGATATTATTTAGCCATAAAGAGGAATGAAATTCTGACACAAGCTATAGCATAGAAGAATCTTCAAAACATCATGCCAAGTAAAAGAAGCCAGACACAAAAGACCACATATTATCTTGATTCCACTGATACGAAATGCCCAGAACAGGTAAATCCATAGAGTCAGAATGCAGGCTTGGTGGTTGCCAGGGGCTTTGGGGGAGGAGGAAGTGGAAGTGACTGCAAATGGGTATGGGATTTCCTTCTGGGGTGATGAAAATGTCCTAGAATTGTACAGAGGTGATGGTTGCACAACACTGTGAATGTACTAAATGCCACTGAATCTTCAATTAATTTCTCAAATGGTTGAGAAATTTAGCCATTTAAAAAAATGGCTAAAATGGTAAATCTGGTTTGTGAATTTATCACAGTGAAAATGAATTAATTACAATACACCACCACACCAAAAAAAAAAAAAAAAGGATCTGGGACCCTTTCACAAGTGTAGGCTCTAAGGTGGAAACCCTAGGAGGCAGGGGAGTCTAACAGCTACCAGTCTTGCGTTCTAATCCTGGCTCTGCCACTAACTGGCCAGTGACCTTGGGCAAGTCACTGTGCTATTCAGACCCTCGATTTCTTCTTTTGTAAAACTGAAGGACAAAGAGTCCCTCTGGTCAAGATTAACACAAGGATTAAAGAAGAAAACACTGTAAGTGGTTAGCACTGTGTGTGACAAATGACTGCCGTCATTATAACAGTTGTATTAGTCCTCAATTATAAAATATTATAAAATATTTCAAAGCTATAGAAATGTACAGAAAAGTCCTCCCTCCCTTCCCTGGGCCTATCACCTTAATAGATGTTAACACTGCCCTATTTGCTTCAAATTTCCCTGTTTGTTTTAAAGAAAAAAAGGAACAGAGACAGCCAGAGCCTTCTGGTCCCCTCCCAGTCTCTTCCTGGCCCCTCCCTGCCCAGAGCAGCCCCTCCTCGCAGGCAGGTGGGTGGTGGCACCTTTTTTCATTTCTTGTCTGTGGGCATTAACTTCTAAAATAAACACCATCACTGGGAGGTAAGATTTTGTTCCCAGACATTATGTTTCATGTACTATTCCTGTTGATACCCATTGATCTGGTTCATTTCTATGAAACTGAGATATGGTTTTTGTCCTATTGACCAATCCCCACTTTAGAAATGGACAAACTGACTGAGCTGAGGTCCTTGGACTCGGAGTCTGGCGTCTCTTTGTCTCTGCCTTTCTCTGGCCTCAGCAGGTAGGTCAGATGTCCTGTCCTGGCAGCAATCCCCGTCACGGTCTGGGTAGGCATCTCACCAGGGCCTTAATGGATCTGCCCACTGACTCACTGGGGAGGGAGCTTGAGCTCCCTGGAGTCCCTACCTCAGGGCCCCAATCCCTCTACTCTCAGGCTCTGTAACTCCGGGCAACTCTCTGAGCCTCAGTTTCCTCACCCAGGAAAAGTTCAGACTCCACCCTGCCTGTGCATCATTAATGGATGGATAACAGCTGCCCAAGGCCCTGTGCTAAGAAGGATTCTGAGGCTGCATGCTGGATTGCTGGGAGAAAGAGATCAATCGGCAGACTCCTGACGGGATGGGAAGGAAGGTGGGGCTCCCCATGCAAAGTATTTTTTCCACTTGCTCCACGCACCCGGGTGCCACCTAGAGGTTTAAAACCAGTGCCTGTCTGGCTGAAGGAAGGATGAAAGGGGAGCAGGGACACCAACTAGGAGCAACCTGCACTCTTTCAGGGCAGCAGCAGTGGCGCCGGGGCTGTGGGGACGCAAAGGGGGGCAGACCCGGGCAGTGAAGCCACTGCACTGACTGGAAGAGTGAGGGCTCTTGGCACTTCTGGGGCCCTGTCTACACTCACCCTGGGAGGCGCTGGGCTGCTGGCTGACGGCCTGGCCGAGCTGGTCTGAGAGCCACAGCTGCATACGGATGAAGGGCTCCCGCCCCTTCTGCGTCAGCTTGCTCCACGGCTTCGGCCGGGACAGCATGTCACTCACACTGCCCTGAGACAGACCCAGCACCTGGGGATGGGCAGGGCAGGAAGGGTAGGTCAGCAGGTCCCTGGCCATCCCCTCCACCACTCTCCCCAAGAACCTTAAGGCCCACTGTTCACTCCCGTTCTGAGAGGCCAGGGCTGCCTTCATGTGTTCTTCACTCCCCAGGTGTCTGCTGTGTGCCTGTGCTGTACCCCCCACCTGCAGTGCCCTTCCTGATTTCCCTCCATCTAAAAATCCTGCCTCAGGACTTCCCTGGCAGTCCAGTGGTTAAGGCTTTGCCTCCCAATGCAGATTCCTGGATGGAGAACTAAGATCCCACATGCCTCACGGGCAAAAAACCAAAACGTAAAACAGAAGCAATATTGTAACAAATTCAATAAAGACTTTAAAAATGGTCCACATCAAAAAAATCTTAAAAAAAAAATCCTGCTTGGACTCTAAGACCCCTTAAGTGCCCCCTCCTCCAGGAAGCCTTCCTGTGTCTCCCATTCAGGTCATTTCGCCTTCCTCTGAGCTTATGACCCTTTGCCTGCTCTTCTGCTATGGCCGGAAGTGATGTTTAAAACTACTTAACATGGACTTCCCTGGTGGCATAGTGGTTAAGACTCCACGCTCCCAATGAAGGGTGCCTGGGTTCGATCCCAGGTCAGGGAACTAGATCCCACATGCATGTCGCAACTAAGAGTTCGCATGCTGCAACTAAGAAGCCGGTGAGCTGCAACTAAGAAGCCATGAGCCGCAACTAAGGAGCACGGCTGCTGCAACTAAGACCCGGCACAACCAAATTAATTAATTAAAAAATAAATCTACATTTCAAAAAGAAATAAAACTACTTAACAACTGGCACCAACCAATCAGGAGACCACCCCCCACCCCTGCAAGCTAGGCTGAGCCTTAACCCTTTAGTGGATGGACCATGGGAAGGGTGGAGGGTACCCGAGCAGGGTCGGGTAGGTGGCTATTTCCTAACCAGATGGAAGGGTTTCACAGCTTTAAAAACCTCCTTGCCCTTGGCTCCCCGTCCTCCAGTGCCCAGGGACAGCTGGAAACAGGAAAAAGGGCTTTTGGGGTCACACAGACCATGGTCCGAATCCTGCTTCTGCCCAGTTCTTGCACACGCGCACGCGCGCGCACACACACACACATTCTTTCCAGACCATGGACGTGGGATGGGGGTCCTCCCTCCCCAGGTCCCGTGCTCCAGGCCCCGGAGGCTCCGAGGGTGGGCCCCGCCATCTGCACCTTCTCCCCGAAGATCCTCTGGCAGATTCCATTCTTGGCCAGCTTCTCCTTGACCTGGCGCGTCAGCTCCAGGGTGTCCACCTCACGGTACATGTAGAGCTCGTATTGCTCGGGGGTCAGGGGCGGCACGGTGGGCTTCAGCGTGCGGGGCACGTAGGCCGGGTAGTAGGCCAGTCGCCCAGCGCTGCCCGCCTCGGGGCCGCCCCCCTCGGCCTTGAGCTCACCCACCCTGGGGGGCTCGTCCTCACTCCCGGCCGCTTCCTCCTCAGGGGCCGTGGGCGCCTCGTCCCCACGGGGCCATGCCCGCCCGCTGGGCTGGCCGGAGTAGCTGGAGGAGGAGGAGGAGAGTGAGGGTGAGACAGAGGCGTAGGGGCGGCTGAGGAGGCCGCGGTCCGAGGCCCAGTGGTGGTCGAAGTAGCCGGCATCGCCGATCTCTGACTTGACCTTCCGGATGATGCTCTGCACAAAGGCGGCCGGGGACAGGACCGTGAGGGATGTCTGTGTGGCACTGCTGCTGGTGCCCCCACTGCCGACACCACCGCCGCCGACACCGCTCTCCTCCTGCTTGACGTGGGTCGGGGCCCCATTCTGGCTCATGGCGGCCAGCGAGGGCCGCTCTGGGGGCGAGGGAGGCACCGAGCGGCCGCGGGGGCCTGCCTCCATCTCCAGTAGGGCCTGCTGCTGCGCTTGCATCTCGCGGCGTGCTTGTTCCAGAATGTTCTTGATGGCATCTTCTGAGGTGCTGGCGGGGGCTGTGCCATTGGTGATGCTCAGTGGGGCTGTCGAGTTCTTGGGCTCACCTGTGGGAAAGATGACAGGGTGGCTGGAGGCCCATGGTCAGAGCATGGATTGAAGGGCAAAGATGTTCACAGCACAGTATTTATACCAGCAAAATGTTGGAGGCAACCTCTTTGTCCAACAGCTGGGGATTGGTTAAGTAAATTAGGGTCCATCCCTATGACAGAATATTAGGCAGCCATTAAAAATCAGGTCGACAAATTATACTCCAATAAAGATGTTAAAAAAAAAAAAGGAAACAGAAAAAAAAAATCAGGTGGACAGTGAGATTTTAGCACATGTGGAGAAAGTGCTCACGGGGATAATGTAACATTAAAAAAAGACTTGTCTTTTGCATATGCTGTGATCCATCTATGCAGATAAAAGCAAGTCCCAGAAGAAGACACACAGTATAACCTGCTTTCTAATTGAGCTGCGAAATAAGCAATGTATCACTTAGGGAAAAATCTTTTTTTTTTTTTTAAGAGTGGTAAACAAAAGGGAACAACAGAACATTGTTTCCCTCTGCCCTGTTAGTGGCCTTTCCCATGCTGAGGTCTCCCCACCCCTGGACCAACCCATATCAACACAGCCCTTCCTCTATTACCTGGTTGTGCAGTCTATACCCTAGTGGATCCTCACAGCCCCAATTTTAATTTCCAATTAAAAAGCAATAGAGCAATGGAATATTATTCAGCCATAAAAAGGAATGAAGCACTGATACATGCTACCATATGGAATAATCTTGAAAACATCATGCTAAGTGAAAGAAGCCGGACACAAAAGGCCACATATTGTATGGTTTCCATTCCTATGAAATACCCAGAATAGGTAGATTCATAGACACAGAAAGTAGACTGGTGGTTCCCTGGGGCTTAAGGGAGGTGGAGAGTGGGGAGTGACTGCTAATAGGTACAGTGTTTCCTTTTCGGGGTGATGAAGATGTTTTGGAACTAGACAGAAGCAGTGGTTGCACAACATTGTAAGTATACTAGACACCACTGAATTGTTCACTTTAAAATGGTTAATTTTATGTTATATGAATGTTACCTCAATTTAAAAAAAAGTAGGGGCTTCCCTGGCTGGCACAGTAGTTAAGAATCTGACTGCCAATGCAGGGGACACGGGTTTGAGCCCTGGTCCTGGAAGATCCCACATGCCGTGGAGCAACTAAGCCCGTGCACCACAACTACTGAGGCCCGCGCGTCTAGAGCCCGTGCTCCGCATCAAGAGAAGCCACCGCGATGAGAAGCCCGCGCACCGCAACGAAGAGTAGCCCCCACTTGCCACAACTAGAGAAAGCCCGCACACAGCAATGAAGACCCAACGCAGCCAAAAACAAATAAATAAAATAAATAAATTTATTTTAAAAAAAGTAATACATGCCTATTGTGGACAGCTAAGAATGCACAGAAAATTAAGATGAAAATAAAAATCCCCTCTAATCTTTCCCCCAGAGGCAACCACATGAAATTTTCTCATGTTTTTCCTTCCAATCTGTTTTCTAACAACATTCATGGGATGGTCACACTTGATATGCGGGAGTGTGGCCTGGTTTGCCCTCACTTGGTGTCAACATGAGTATTTTTTCCTATGATTATAAGTTCTTCTATCTTTAATGGCTGCATATACCACTGAGGAAATACCCTGTGCTTTACTTACCTGATCCCCCACTGCTAGATACTTAGATTGTTTCTAGTTTGTCACTGTTGGAAACAACGATAAAGAAATAGCTTGTATATAAAATTTTGCCCCCATTCTGGACATTTCCTTTGATCCCCAAAAGTAGAGCTCCTAAGTTAGTGTCAACCACATTCATTTCCTTCCCAGAGGACTGCTAATTGCTCTCTGCTTAGCCTTCACTCTTGTCAGGGGCACGGGGGGGATAACCTGGCACTCCTCCTCTTGTTGAACTCTTCACAGACCCTTCACAGGAAACCCCCAACTATGCAAAGGTTTCCCTCTATGATGTTGCCTTTTTAATTTCTTTGCTGCCTTGTTTCTGACCCCACAGTGGGAGAGCACTGTATAGGGAGTCAGGAGAGCTGGGTTCTCCTTTGGTCTCTGAATAACTGTGAGTATGTCTCCTCCTCTTTGGCTTCAGTTTTCCTGTTCAGTAGGAGAGTTAGATTAAACTGGTTCTCATGATTCTTTTCCCCCCAGTACTGTGTCTCATCTATATGTGTAAGCCCTATCTAGCACACAGTAGGCACTTAATAAATGTTTGGGACCGGTTTCATGGAAGACAGTTTTTCCATGGACTGGCGGGGGGGATGGGGGTGGGGGGATGGTTCAGGTCAGTGATGGGGAGCCATGGGGACCGGGGATGAAGCTTCACTCGCTCACCCACTGCTCACCTCCTGCTGTGTGCGGCCCGGTTCCTAACAGGCGTGGGCTGGTACTGGTCCACGTCCCGGGGGTTGGGGACCCCTGGTGTACACAGTAAGGGCTCAGCAGATTATATGGGTGGAGCAGTGTAGGCTCCCAGCAGGGTAAGCCCCTCTCTACCCTTTCCAGGGACCGGGAAGGGGAGGGATCTTGGGGAACTCTTCCAGCAGCAATCAGAGGCTTGGGAATCGGGACACTTGCTCCGAGTCGCCACCATGGGGCAGCAGACAATGTAAAATGGAGTGGGAGTGCTGAAGCCAGCATCTAGTTCTAAGTCAGCTGTGGTCTACACTGTGTTGTACTACCTCATGCTGGGTGCAGGGATGTGACTAGGTCCCTGGCTGCAAGAATCCCCCAGACTGGTGGGAGGGACAGCCACATCAGCAGAGTCATTTGTAACATGAATAAATGCAACAATGGAGACATAATAATAATAATGTAATGAGGACAGCTAACTTTTCAGGGGCGCCTTCTACATACTAGACCCCAGTTGAGTGCTTGCCAGGCCTGATCTCATTTGATCCTCACACAACCTTAAGAAGGGAGTACAAATACTGTGTCCATTTTAAAGATGAGAAAATGAAGGCACAGAGAGGCTAAGCGATTTGCCCATGGTCACACGGTTAATGAACAGCAGAGACAAAATTTGCAGCCAGGTCACTCTGGCTCCAATGCACCAAACAATACAGGTCATTATGGGGGATCCAAGGAGGGGTGGTATCCAATCCACCTGGATGGGGATGAGGGGCTTCCTGGAGATGACTTCTGAGTTGAGTGGTAAAGTATAAGCAGGAGTTGGCCAGATGAAAAGTGGCTGGGGTGAGGATGGCATTAGGGGCACAGGGAACAGGAATGAGAATAAGCATGACTATAAACAGTTCATGTGAGAGGCACAGAGGGGTCAGGAGGAGTCTGAAGACTATAATAGGGCCTGTAGGCCTTGTTGGAGACTTGGGATTTTATCTGAGGGTAATGGGGAGCCATGGAAGGATTTCAAATAGTGATATGACCATGTGTGTCCTCTAGAAAGATCCCTCTGGCCTCTGGGTGGAGGATGAGCCAGAGCATGGCCTAGAATGTCACTGGCAAGACCAGTAAATAGGCTACTGCAATAGTCCCAGCAAGTGATGATGGTGGCTCACTAGGCTGGTGGCAGTTGGGGTGGGGATGGACAAGCTTGAAAGAAGCACTCAGAAGTTAAGTGACCCCTGGATGGGGTAAGGGTTAGGGTTAGGGTTAGCGTTAGGGTTAGGGTTGTTGGAATTTCCAGGAGTGGATTAACTCATCTAGGAAGAGTAAGAAAGTCAGAGGGCCTGGGGTGGAGCTCTGGGGGAACCCCACGTTTGAGGGGGTTGATGAAGAAAGTGCACTGTGATAGGCTAAATAATGGTCCCCCAAAGATATCCATGTCCCAATCCCTGGGACCTGTGAACATGTTACCTCACATGGCAAAAGGGAGTTTGCAGATGTGATTAGAGTTAAGAATTTTGAGATGAGGAGATTATCCTGGATTATCTGGGTGGACCCCACACAATCACAATGGTGCTTATAAGAGGGAGGCAGAAAGATGAGAGAGAGACAGAGACAGAGACTAAAGATGCTATGATGCTAAGATGAAGGAAGAGGCCAGGAGGCAAAGAATCTGGGCACCCTCTAGAAGCTGAAAAAGGCAAGGAAACAGATTTTCCCCTAGAGCCTCCAGAAAGAACGCAGCTGTAGCCCAGTGAGGCTGACTTTGGACTTCCGACTTCCAGAACTGTAGGATGATAAATTTATGCTGTTTTTAACCACTGAGCTCTGAGTGTGGCACCCACTGGGGAAGCGTAGGAGGCATGGTTTGAGAGGTGGGAGGAAGCCAGGGGAACAGTGTCTCACTGGGAACTAGAAAGTAAGGTGCAAGAAGGAAGGTGAGACCGATGGTCGGGGGTGAGGCTCAGGCCTCTGTGCTTGACAAGCTCCTGTGTGAATACTGGTCACTGTGCCTCCTGAAAGTTGAGGACATTTGGACAACCCAGACCAGGAATGCCAACAGAACTCCGCAGTGAGGGCAATGTTCTGTGGGCGTGCTGCCCAACATGGCCGCCACTTGTCACCTGTGCGACGTGGCTACTGCGGCTGAAGAACTGAGGTTTTAATTTCACTTAATTTTAGTTAATTTAAATGGATATAACCACACGTGGCTTGTAGCTCCATACCGGATAGGACCTGGCACTTTCCAGGCCTAGACCTCACTTGGCTGCAGGTCTGGAAAGAGGCAAAGAGGTTCTGACCTGCTTGGAATCCCCTCTGGAGTGGATGAAGGTGGACAAGGCCTTGCCTCCTGCTCAGAGCAGGCCCTGGAGGCCTCGGGCCTCGGCTGCTGTGGGGTCACACTCACCCCCCTTCTGCGACTCGATCTCCTTCTTGGCCTGCTCCAGGATGCTCTTGATGGCGTCATCCGAGCCGGTCTCTGGTGTGCGGATTCTCGGGGTGATACTGCCTGGGGGAGGAAAGGAGGCATCTGCTGTGGGGACCTGCATGTTGGGGATCAGTCCCTGGAGCTGGGCAGGGTGACAGCCTGGTGCCCTCCTCTGAGGGCCAGACCGTGAGTATGTGTGGCAGGACCATCACTTTGCTAGTCTGTGTGACAAACTGTGGACCTACAAGTGATTCTAGCTTGAAATAATAATAACAACAACAAAACCCACTGACGGCAGCCACCATCAAAGCTAACAGTTCTCAGGAACTTACTATATGCTTTATGCTCATTTAACCCCCGCCATGAGGCTGACAGATGGGGAAACTGAGGCACAGAGCAGCTAAAGTGGATTGCCTGAGGTCACTCAGTAGATGAATGGCAGAGCTGGACACAAACTCAGGTGTTTGTGAGGTCAGAATTTGGGCCCTTCACATGGATTACCCTAAAAGCTGAGTCTGCCAAGGTTGGCAGTCACCCAGGCTGTTGTACAGATGGGTAAACTGAGGCTTGGAGGTGCTCAGCGGGTATCTGCCAAGACAGCCCCTGGGGCCCAGACTTTTCCCACCGTTATCAGCCTGAACGGCATCACAGCGGCCAGAGGGGGAAACTGAGGCACAGAAAGGCAGAGTCACTTGCCCCGAGTCACACGGCTGTGAGGTGGCAGACCCAAGGCTCTGAACCCCGAGCTGTGCTCTCAGACCCCAGCCAGCCCCGTGCCCTGGGCTGGGTCGTGGAGACCAGGTCTGAGCCTGTGCATCACAGATGGGCCCTCGGCCGGCACTTACCTCTTTGCCGCACCTGGATGGTCCTCAGAGCCAGCACATTCTGCTCGTCCGACAGGAACTGCTTCATCTTGATGAAGGGCTCCTTGCCCTTCACCGTGAGCTTGCGCCAGGGCTTGGGCCGGGCCAGGATCTCGCTGACCGAGCCCTGGGACAGGCCCAACACGTAATGGCCAAACACCCGCTGCCCGATGTTGTGTTTGAGCAGCTGCTCCTTCACCTGGAATGCAATCTCCGCCGTGTCCAGCTGCTCCTCCTCTGCCCCGGCTCCCGCTGTGGCCACGCCGCCGCCACTGCCCTCTGCTGGCTCAGGGCCCCCGGGCGGCTCAGGGCCAGGGGCTGGGGTGGCAGGGGCTGTGGGCGGCTTGGCGCCATAGAAGGCCGGGGGGAACACCAGCAGGCCTCCCGCCTCCCCCTTGAAGGCAGCCGGGGGCATCATGTGCTTGGACAGCAGCGTGTCCCCTGCCAGTCTCTCCCCTGAAGCCAGGCTGGGGAAGGGGGACAGCGAGAAAGTCCGAGGGCCATCAGGGCCGAGGCCAGGGCCCAGCAAGGGCTGCCCTGGGCTGGGGGACAGGGGGTCTTCGGGCCCTGGTGGCGGTGGGAGCTGTGGAGGGGATGGGTAGGACTGCTCCGTGCCCAGAGAATCCTTGATGGCAACATCCTCTGAAGGGTCTTCCTCTAGAACACCAAGGCAGACAGACAGAGGAAGAGAGGAGAGACAGAGAAAGACAGAGAGGTGGATAGTGATGGGGAGAAACAGAGACAGAGACAGGGAGAGAAATCACAGAGAGACACAGAGATAGGAAAACAGAAATAACAGGGGAGAGACAGAGACAGGCAGAGGCGGAGAGACAGAGACAGGCAGAGGTGGAGAGACAGAGACAGGCAGACAGAGACAGTGAAAGACAGAAAGCAACAGAAGGACAAAGAGATAGAAAGAGGGAGACAGAGAAACACATACAAAGAGACAGAAATTTGGAGGGAGAGGAAGGGGGCACAGGGCAGGAGGGAGTGGGGACAAGTGCTATAGGCGTCTGGCGGCGCGAGGCGCCAACACTGGCTGTTTCTGCCACACACACTCCCTGCCCCCTTCTCTGATCCCCATCCTTCAAGGCTCAGGCCAAATGCTAGTTCTGGGGAGCCCCCCTCCCACCATCAAGCACATCAACTGAGCACTCGTTATGGGCCCAACACCTTGCCCTGGGAGGATTAACCCCCATCCCAGAGCAGGACAGCCCACTTCCTGGGTGCTCGCCCTGCACTCCTTGTCTATGCGTTTGTACTTCCCATGCTGCTAACTTACTCCACCCGCACAGGGCCCATTACCGCCCCCACCTCACAGATGAGGAAATGGAGGCAGCACACAGAAAGTGTCGGCTGGGGCCACATGGCTGAAAGGTCATGAAGCCACTGTGTGAGGAGAAGGGGCGATGTGGGGGAGACAGGCGTGTCTGCAGGCCGTGCCCAGGGGTCTGCTGTAGGGGGTGCGGTGTGAATGCCCTCCTTGTCCCGTGACCTCTTCTACTGCTCTCGAAGGCTAGGGCATGAGCAAGCCCTTTGGGGGACCTCAGGAGGGCCTGAGTGAGCTGTGTGTCCCTGAGTGTGGGCGTGGATGTGGGTGGCACCCTGTGGGACAGCTGCCTGCTGGCTTAGCTGTGGATGGCGCCCAGCTCAGCCCCTGGCACCCAGGAGGCGCTCAATCAACATGCCCGCCTTTTATCCATCATCCTCCGGCCCGTGTGGAAGGCAGTGGTCTGAGGGCATGGAGGAGGCCAGAGACCCACGGGCATCTCCCACCCCGGCCCCTCAGTCCCAAGAGCACCCCTCCTCCCCTACCAGGGCTGGCCAAAAGACCAGGCTTTTCTAGAAGGAATTTCTGCGCAGGGAAGAATGCCTCCTTTGCCATGAGCAGGGAGTCTTCGGGCTTTGCCATGCCCTGAGGAGACAAGAAGCAGGGCTGAGAGGGCATGGCTGGTACAAGGCTCTCAGGGGCAGCCTGCCCTGTGGGGAAAGTGGTGGGGACACTCACCTGGGGGAGGCTGCAGGTGTTGGAGGCCAGCTTCATGGCTTTGAGGATGCTGCCAGAGAAAGTGGAGAGAGTGTGAGGCCAGCCAGTTCCCCAGGCCGGGTGAGAGGCACTATGACCTGCTATCTTCCCTGATTGACAGCAAGGACCCCAGCCCCCAGGACCCCATGTAACACGGGACTCAATGGACAACAGGCCTTAAATAGTGGGCTTGTGAACTGGTCTGCTGTCACCTGGAGGAGTGTGGCTTGAGCTCATCTGATTAAGGCATCATCCCCCTGCCCAGTTACAGCACCAGCAAGGCTATGTTTTCCCACAGGCAGCTCTTGATGACAAAGGTCCGGGCATGACACCCAAGGTGCCAGTGGAGAGTTGACAAGGGTAACACAAAGCGGGGTCTGGTGGGAGGGAGGAAGATGGTGAACTTTGCCGAGGGCCCCTTGCTATCTTCCCAGGCAGCCCCCAGTCAGGCAAGAGGGCTTGGCGGGGGGACCTATGGAGCCCCGCCCCACACAGTACCTCAGCTCTGTTTTAATTTCTTCATAGTCAGACTGTGCCTGAAGCTTCTCTTCCAGCTTCTAGAAGAACAAAGATGGTGAGGCTGGTCCACGTCCTTCTGCCTGGGGACTCCCCGCCCATCTCCCATCTGCCCACCTCCTCCCCAAGACCTACTTCGATGGCCTCCGACTTGGCCATGAGCTGCCGCTCTAGGTCTGCAATCTGGTTGGCGGAGGTCTCCTCCAGCTCCTGCAGAGAGTTCTGGAGGTGCCGCACATCCTTCAGCAGCCGCAGGATCTCCCGATCCTTGGAGGCCAGGGCAGCCTCAAGCCGAGGGCCCGAGCACAGAGCGAAGTTCACCTTATCCTGGGCACAAACAGGGGCTTGGAGGGGCCGGGAGGTGTGGGACAGGGGGTGCAGGGCTGCTGTGCTCCCTGGGGTGACTCAGCCCCTCTTACAGGCCTGTGGCTTTCCCCTTACCACTTCTAAGCCTTTGCTCAGGCTGGTCCCACCTGCCTGGATGTCTTTCCCTCTCTTCTTGAAAAGAAATAAGGAGGGAGAAAGAGTGGTCAGAGAAAGTATTTTGGAGGAAGGTATGTCTAAACTGTGATGAAGTTCAAGAACAAGTTAGTGATTTGGAAAGTTGCTTGGCAGCCTCTGCTAAAGGTGAAAATTCGGTGCCCTAAGTCCTGGTGGAATATATGCAGGAGAAACGTGGGCACTTGTGCACCAAGACACAGGATGTGAACGTTCACAGCAGCCCTCTCTGTAATAGCTCCAAACCTGAAACCCCCCAGAGGCCTACCCACCAGAAAGTGGACAGATTGTGGAATACTCACACAACAGAATACTAGACAGCAACAAAAACGAATAATCTACATTTACTTGCAACACAGTATGATGACTCTGCCAGATATATCATAGAGCCAAAGAAGCCAGACACCAAAGTGTATGTGTGATTCTATTAAGATCAGATATCAAAACAGGCAAAACCCATCTGTGCTGTTAGAAGTCAGGGGGAGTGGCACCTGGATGGGGTCATGAGGGAGGCTTCCGGGTGCTAGAATGTTTTATTGTTTTTTTTTTTAATATTTATTTATTTATTCATTCATTCATTTATTTATGGCTGCATTGGGTCTTCATTGCTGCACGCGGGCTTTCTGTAGTTGCGGTGAGCAGGGGCTACTCTGTTGCGGTGCGCGGGCTTCTCATTGTGGTGGCTTCTCTTGTGGAGCACAGGCTCTAGGTGCACAGGCTTCAGCAGTTGTGGCACACGGGCTCAGTAGTTGTGGCTCAAGGGCTCTAGAGCACAGGCTCAGTAGTTGTGGCGCACAGGCTTAGTTGCTCTGCGGCATGTGGGATCTTCCCGGACCAGGGCTTGAACCCATGTTCCCTGCATTGGCAGGCGGATTCTTAACCACTGTGCCACCAGGGAAGTCCCTAGAATGTTTTATTGTTGATCTGGATGCTGGTTATGGGCTGTGTTCACTTTGAAAAATTCCAAATGTTGTACACTTATGACATGCATGTTTTCCCTTGTGGATGTTATACTTCAACAACACATTTATTAAAAAGGAACAAAAAGAGCCCGCATGCCGCCAACTACAGAGCCCACGCGCTCTGGAGCCCGCGTGCCACAACTAGAGAGAACGAAGAGCCCGCACACCACAATGAAAGATCTCACATGCCGCAACTAAGACCTGACACAGCCAAAACCAAAATAAATAAATATTTTAAAAAAAAAGAAAAAAAGGAACAAAAAAGAACTAGTCAGTTGGGTGAGGAAGTGGTAGTTATAGGATGTTCCTGGCTGAGAGAACAGCAAAGGTTTGGGTTTCTAAATCGGGCCCAGGTCCCACTCCCGGCAGCAACAGACACACAGGATTAGACCTGAGACCTTGCAGCCATGAGACACGTTAGGGTGATTCCTTCCTCATCCTAATTTGCCACCAGCCCCAAGCCCCACAGCTTCTCCGGGTTTTAGGAAATGGCCCCTTTGTCCTGGTTGAAGATGAAGAGGTTTCTCTTTGAGGGGACGTGAAGTCAGGCTGCCCTTGAGCTCAGTTACAAATGAATCTCAGCAGCATTACGAAGAAAAAAAAACAAAGAACAACTGACCACTACCAACCCCAGCTATTCTTCTATGGAGCTAAATGCCAATTAAAACAGGAAGCGGATGCCATTAACACATTAAATTAATTAGCATCGAGCACCACTGTTGTGCTCAGAAAAGCTCACCCCCCGGCCCAACCCAGCAAAGTTCCTCATGGCTGATTAGCACAGGCATTTGCTGGCTTCCATGGGGGTTAATTAAGAACCATTGGCAAATTCTCTCTGAGGCATCTTCATGAGCGCGCTCGCTCTCAGTCTTTCTTGTGTTCATTCTCTATGTCGTGCAGACATCAGGCACGTTGATACATACACACTGCCTCCTGGGACACGGGCACAGGTGCACACACCTATGGACACACACTGACACATGTACCTGTGGGGATACTCATGCTGAGAAGCACACGCACGGAAATGCATAGGCACCAAGGAGACGCGTCACCATCACACACACAGACATGTATGTGCTCAGAGGCCACATGCTCACGTGGGCAAAAACACCCTGGACATACCCCAAACACACTAGTAATAGTCACACTGCATTAAATATTTACTGAGCATAGACTATAAACCAAGCACCATGTAATCCTCTCAATAACCCTATAAGGCAGGTCCTATTTATACAGATGAGGAAACTGAGGCACAGTTAGGTTAAGGATGCAGTTATTTGCCCAAAGGTCACAAACAGACACACATACACAGTAAAACACGTTCAGAGAGACTCATTCCAATATTTAAACAGAAAGACAGATACAGACACAGGTGTATGTATCAGGGTGTCAGGTGAAATGAAAATTATGCCAGCCACTTCAGGTTCATGAATGGAGGCTGCAAATCACCCTGGAGCAGACCTGTTATTATGTAAGCAATCATGAATTTCATTCCTTGATATCTGGAAAGAAATCTGGAAAGAAGGTGGACCAATTTACATAAGGAAGCCAGGCTTTCTGGGAGAGGAACAATGAAGACTCTTATTACATGACAGAAGGGTAGGTTGGGGGGGGGCCTGATTAAAATCCCTTGGCAGGGGCTTCCCTGGTGGCGCAGTGGTTGGGAGTCCGCCTGCCGATGCAGAGGAGACACGGGTTCGTGCCCCGGTCCGGGAGGATCCCACATGCCGCGGAGCGGCTGGGCCCGTGAGCCATGACCGTGACTGCGCGTCCGGAGCCTGTGCTCCGCAACGGGAGAGGCCACAACAGTGAGAGGCCCACGTACCGCAAAAAAAAAAAAAAAAAAAAAAAAAATCCCTTGGCAGGAAATGTCCCCAGGACCCAAAGGGGCACCAACCTGGGGGAATGAGAAAGATGTACTGACTAACTGGCTTAACACAGGAACCTCAGGGTTGATGACTAAAGATTGGTTCTTTGTAACATGTGGCTGGTTGGGAAACCTCATTAGAATCAGCCTGATACATTTTAGGAACCCTTGGCTGATATGAGTGTCAACCTCAGCTCTTGGTAAGCAGCTCCACTGCTGTCTGGGAGGGACTGAGAACCAGTGGGGCATCCCTGTAGCAGTCCGCGCACATCTTCCAAGCAGTGTGAGACCAGTGGTCAACAGCAACACCTGGTGGCAGCCACCAAAACTGCACGGCTGCTCTATTGATCAAACTCACCCTCCTACCCACTCTTGCTGGGCATCTGGCAACTAAAATGATCCTCTTTGGCCTGACTAAATTCCAAAGTATATGGAATCAAGGTATGTGGACGCTTGAGCTTGAAAAGTTAAAAGAGCTGTGCTGTTTCTGACCCTCAGCTGGTGAAGCAAGTCACAGTGATTATGTTTAACTACACACTGACCTTGGCAATTAAAATGCTATGCCCACAGTATGCACACAGAGACCCACACCCATTCACGTGCACAATTTCACACAAATGCGCAGGGTCCACCCACAAAATGTCACCCACATATTCAAACCCACAAACCTGGCCTTTCCCAACCTTTCCCCGTGGCTCCTCCACCATCCTTACCCCACTGGGTCCCTGAGGAGAGCAGCAGGCCAGGCGGATGGAGCTGTTGACGGAGGCAAGTTGTTCCCGAAGACTTTCCACCTCCCGCTGGGCAGCCTCGGCTCGCTGGGAAGGAAAATGGGGCAAGTGTGGTTAAGAGGTGAGCGGGGCCACACTGGATCCCACCCTGGCCCTCCACTGCTTCCCTGCACTGTCTCAGGCAGCAGCTGGGAAGGCAGGTCTGAGGGCCTGGGGTCCTCCTTTCTGGGTCCTGGACCCTTGAGTTGGCTCTTGGTTTCCCTGGTGTGTATCCAAGAGGAGCTAGAACATTCCCTCTTCACTAGGGCAGGAAGGGAGATGCTGTCTTGATGGAACTGGCAATTTTTCACACGTTCCCAGGCCACTTCTGTCTGCCAAGTAAACTTCAGGCCTGGCTAGTCAAAAGGCCAGAGTTTGTCCCCAGCTCCTGTGCCATATGGTGTCTGCAGAGGTGGCTCACAAGCTGTTGCAGGCCCCTGGGCAAGTTACTTCCCCTCTCTGAGTCTTAGTTTTCCTTTTGTGAAATGGGGGCAATGAAACTGTAGAGGAGTGTTGAAATACATCTAAAATCAGAATGCCACAGTTTACTAAACTGAATCTTAACTCTTCAAAAATTTCTAAGAAAAAGCTCGGAAGGAAGCATCCAAATGTTAACAATGTAGACTTGTGGCCTGGAGAGAAATCTGTACTTTGTCTCTCTTTCTGGTTGTATGACCTTGGGCAAGAAACTTCATATCCTTGGCCTCAGTTTCCCTGTCTGTAAAATGGGCGTCATAAGAGCAACTATCTCATAGGGTTGTTCTGCAAGTAAGTAATTTGGTAAAATACAACTCATTAGGTATCTCACCTTGATGCCTGACACATACAAATGTGTCAATAACTGGTTTACTTTATTAACAACAACAGGGTGTATGGGATCTTGAACTATGGAAAATTAAAAGAGTTGCAGTTGTATCTTGACCTCCAGCTGGTGATGCAGGTCATAGCAATTAAGTTTAACTTACACATTGACCTTAGCAATCAGGATGCTGTGCCCACTATACGCGCACAGAGATCCACACACTTCCATGCGCACATTTCATTGATTTATGTTTTAACTGATTTGTTTATTAGTATCCTGCCTTGTTCCAGGAATGGTTTGAGTTAGGAGTCAGTTTTGTTTTGGGAAAGGTTTTGGGCGTGTGGGGTTGTAGAGAAAACATTTTTATGTTTCCACAAAGGGCATACTGAGCAAATGTGACTGAAACTTGGGATCTGGGCTAAAAGACAAGCCTTGGAGTTAATACATGACTGATTAGCTAGTGAGAACTCCAGAAAGATTCACCTCCTGGGAGATGTCTGTTGACATTTCAAGGGGGGATGAGACCCAGACCGTGGAGACACCCCCTGGGTTGTAAAGCTGGGTTTAAAGCTACTAGTCTTATCTTCCCCTGGAGAGAAGTATTTATATTCCAAATGCTAGAAACCCAGGATCCTTGCCCTTCTGTTCATCATGATACTTGGGAGTAGATTTCTCTCCTTTTCTCAGAAGGTCCCTCTACTATACTATACAACCACCCAGATTCATATTTGGGTGGTTCCTTGCCTACAGCACAAACTCTGGTGCATGTAGGAGGATATCTGGTTCTCGTCTTGTCACCCCAGGGGAAGAACTGGGGCAAACTGGCATGGTTTTTACTATACAAGTAATAATGATCTGCTCTGCTCCAGAATCCTCTTGTTCACATTTAGGATAGTATTAATAAATACAGATATTAAAGACTAATATGATGACATTTACTTTTTTCTCAGTACTCTACAATGAGCAGGTTTTAGTTTTATACTCAGGAAAAAATAAACATTATTAAAAATGCTTCCTATTCAAACTACTCTAAGATCGCTCTTAAGCCCACTTGATTGGCAGAGATCCAAAAGTCTGACGACACACAGTGCTGGTGAGGCTATTGGGAAACGGGCCCTCTCAGACCTTGCTGGAGGGAGTGTGTACTGGCACAACCCCATGGAAGGCAGTTTGGTCACATTTGCCAAATTATAAACGCACAGCTCTTTCACCCAACGGTTCCACTTCTAGGAATTTGCCCTATACAGTGGCTTGGGTATGTATGAAATGATATCTGTACAAGGTTATTCACTGCAGCATGGAGGATGATGGTAAAATACTGGAAATACCATAAACGTTCATCAATAGGGTATGAGTTAGACCAGAGGTTGGCAAACTGCAACCTGCTGCCTGTTTATGTAAATAAAGTTTTACTGGAACACAGCCATGCCCATTCGTTTCCATATCGTCTATGCTTCACTCTACCACTGCAAAGTTGAATAGTTGTGACAGTGACTTGCAAGGCTGAAAATATTTACTCTCTGGTCCTTTATAGAAAGTTTGCCTTCCCCTGGGTTAGACGATGGTGCGTCCATGTAGTGCAACATGACGCAGCTGTGAAACAGAAGGAACTGCTTTATATACAGATACGGAACAAGCTCTAAGACACATACACGGAAAAAGTAAGGTTCAGGAAGGTGTACGTAGTATTAATAATTATTATTTTTTTCAAGTTGCTAATTATTCTCTTAAGGATATGCATACCAAGGTTGTGATGATTTCTTTCTTTTATTTATTTATTTTTGGTCACACGGCATGTGGGATCTTAGTTCCCCAACCATGATTGAACCTGGGCCCTCTGCATTGGAAGCATGGAGTCTTAACCACTGGACTGCCAGGGAAGTCCCTCATTTTTGTTTTAGAAAGGGGTAAAAGTAGATATTCATGGGCTTGTGAAGGGATCTCTGGGAGGAGACCCCAAACACTGTAACAGAGGTTGCTAGGGAGAGGGGAACTGGGGGCAAGTTCAGGGAGGGGAGATGGAGTTTCCTGACTATGCCCTAATGTACCTTTTTCAGTTTTGAACTAAGTAAATGGATTACCTATTCAAAGAATTAACCTAAAACACGTTATTTTTTCCAACCTTCCTCTGCAGGAGGGAGCACCCTGTCCTTAGGCTGGCACAGCCAGGCATCCGGGCCTTTGCCTCTGCTGTGCCCTCTGCCTGGAATGCCATTCCTCAAGAGAACAGCGCCTGGGCTTCAGAACCCAGCTGCAAAGTGTCCTCCTAGGAGGCCTCCCTCAACCACCCCCAGGGAAATGACCACTTGCCCTGTCACACTGCTGACCCCTCCTGGCCATGCCCCTGGCTGCTGGTGTTGCAGGGGACCGGGGAGAGATACAGTAGGCCCGCAGGACTCCAGACCAGACCCTTATGGCCACATCTTACCTCCTTTCAAAGTCCTGCCCAACTTTGTCCTGCAGATGGCAACACATCTGAAGCCAGAGGAAGGCAGGACGCGGGAACCCCATTTATAAATGTGAAAACTGAGACTCGGAGAGGCTGAAGGACTTACAAGGACCTGGGCTGGGACCAGGATATGGGGCCCCCAGGGAAGGTTAGGGTCCACACAGTGCCTGCCTGGTGATCGAGTGAGGAGGTTGGTGGAGACCCCAGGTGGGGATGGAGGGAGAGAAGCAGCCCCGGACTTGTCCCTAGTCACCGCCCTCGGCTCTATGGAACATAGCTCCTCACTCAGTCTGGTTGAGAGAGACCCATGTCCCAGCTTAGCCTGGGGATGGGCCTGGGATCTCTGGTCACTGCTCTGCCTTCCTCCCACGGGGAAGGGCACTCGTCATGCTCTGCAGGCTGCTTCCTGGCCTTTACCAGGGCCGTCCCGTGCCTGGAATCCATCCCTCTACAGTCTCAAGTTAACTTGTCAGGTCTCAGCTCCACGACCCTTCCTGTGGGATGTCTTCCCTGACCCCTGAGTCTGGGTCTGGTGCCCCTTCCCCAACCCTTGCTGCCTGCATCACCCTATTTCTGAGTGTTCTGTCTGTACCCGACCCTCCTTCCTCTGGGAACTCAGGGGCTGGGTCCTAGACAGCTCCCAGCCCCAGCACTCAGCATGGCATGTAGTTCAATTAATACTGATTGAGCTCAGCTCCCTCCTCTCCGCCTGGCCCGAGACCCCCGCCCCGGGGAGAATGAGCCCCCAGCACACGTCTCCTCACCTGATTAGCTTTCTCCAGGTTGGTCATGATCAGGCCGACTTCATCTGCCCTGAGACAGAAAGACGAGGCCCTGAGGAAGGGATTCTGGCAGCCACCAGTGCCCCCGCCATTCCTGAAACCCCCAGCCCCTGCCAACCCAAGGGTGTTGCAATGGAGGCCTCGAGAAGGCTGCCTTCCATCCTTCCTACTGGAGAGAAACCAAGCTGGGGGGGGCGGGGAAAGAATCCAGGCTGGGGGGAAATGAAAATGGGGCCTTAGCACTGGACCCCTTCCAGGCAGCCTGGCCTCCCATCTCCCCCAGGGGTCCACTCTCTGAAGGTGCCACAGAGCTACACCTTCCAGCCTTTGCCTCTGCTATGCCTTCCACCTAGATGCCTTCCTCAAGAGAACAGGGCCTGAGCTTTAAACCCAGCTGCAGAGTGTTCTCCTAGGAGGCCTCCCTCAACTACCCTCATTTATTTTGCTGCCTCACCACCCCCTTAGGTTGACAGCACCTAAAGGATCGGGACAGGCCTCATCCACCTCGGCTGCCCCTTTGCCTAGCAAGGGGTGGGGCCACAAGGGGCCTGCAGGGAGCGTTTGGTGACTGAACGCCACACATGTGCTACACGCATGTTCCAGTTCAAGGCCTTCTTTGCATAAGCTGTTCCCACTGCCCAGAGCACCTTTCCAAGCATTCTTCATGTGGCCATCTCCTTCCCATCTTTGAGATCTCATTCTGAAGGTCATCTCCTCAGGGAAGTCCTCCCTGACTACCTGGATAATAGGACACACCCCTCCATGTTATTCTCTCTTGCTGCTCCTGTTTTTTCCCTTCATGGCATTTACCATGTGGCCACAACAGTGTCAGGCATACAGTAAGTGCTCAACAGTGTCTGTGAATGAAAGACTTTATTCCTGTACATCAGCTAGTGTCTGTCTCCTCTCCTTGACTGAGGACAGGCCCATGTTCTGGTGTTTCCTCCAGGGACCCAGCATAGCACTGGGTAAACGGTAGGTGCTAAATAAGTGTTTGTGGATTAAGTTATATCTTAAAGCCTGAAGAAATGTTGAGTCCAGAGTAATTTAAGTTAATGACACTTGGCCCTAAGGGTTGGACTGTGAAGCTGGGGAGTGGGGACAGCCCCTGGAGGCTGGGGCAAGGCAGAGGCCCATGACTAGCAGAGTCCGCTTAGCTGGAAACCCAGAATGTCCTTTATAGCTTGTGCTACATGGATGGCACCACAAATAAATGCTGAACAGCTGTGAGACTATGCGAGTGTGGAGCAGAGAGTACTTAATTAAATGGGTGTCTCAGGTAGAATCCGAGGGAGAATATCAGAAAGAGGAGGCATGTCTAGAGTGTGAGAGGCAGGAGGCGTATCTGGGAAGGTCAGAGGGAGGAGGCGTGTCTGGGAGGGTCACAGGGAGGAGGCGTGTCTCGGAAGGTCAGAGGCAGGAGGCGTGTCTGGGAGGGTCAGAGGGAGGAGGCGTGTCTCGGAGGGTCAGAGGCAGGAGGCGTGTCTGGGAAGGTCAGAGGTAGGAGGCCTGTCTGTGAAGGTCAGAGGGAGGAGGCGTGTCTGGGACGGTCAGAGGGAGGAGGCGTGTCTGGGAGTGTCAGAGGAAGGAGGCGTGTCTGGGAGGGTCAGAGGGAGGAGGCATGTCTGTGAAGGTCAGAGAGAGGAGGCGTGTCTGGGAAGGTCAGAGGGAGGCAGCATGTCTGTGAGGGTCAGAGGGAGGAGGCGTGTCTGTGAAGGTCAGAGGGAGGCGGTGTGTCTGTGAAGGTCAGAGGGAGGAGGCATGTCTGGGAGGGTCACAGGGAGGAGGCGTGTCTGGGAGGGTCAGAGGCAGGAGGCATGTCTGGGAGGGTAAGAGGGAGGAGGCGTGTCTGTGAAGGTCAGAGGGAGGAGGCATGTCTGGGAGGGTCAGAGGGAGGAGGCGTGTCTGGGAGGGTCAGAGGCAGGAGGCACACCTCAGCATGGCATTCACTTACTTGGATGCCGCCTCCTCATCGTATTTCCGCCGCAGCTCCAGCAGCTCTGTCTGCGTGGCCTTCAACGCTGGGAAAAATTAAAGTGCCGGAGTAAGGCCCTCCACCCCCAGGGAAGTGGAACCTGCTCCTCTTCTCTGGGGCCCGGAAGGCAGAATGAAGCTTGGAGTAGCGAGGAAAGATTTTTCTCTCAGAACTGGTGACAAGCAGCGAGTTTCCTGCCCCTAGAAGGGCTTCTATCTGGAGGGAGGGCTGTGGCATAGCCAGGGTGGGGAGGGCAGATGACATGATTCTCTATGAGTCTATGAAGCTCAGGGGACCCAGGTAAGTGGAGGGGGCAGTCTGTCCTGGGACCTGGCGTATGAGCCCCCTAACACCTTTAAGGTCACTCCAGGACCTGGGTGGGGTCGTCCGTGCATGAGCTCACCTACCCTGAGGCCCAGCCCTGGAAGTGAGGGGACGGGAGGGGCAACCAAGTCAACAGATACATGTATATTACAACAAATGAGGGATTTCTCATAAAGTTCCAGATTTCTGATTTCTCTAGCAAAATGGAAGGGACTGGCTATACTGGGCAGTGCCTGGCTGGGGCTCAGCAGTGGCCACCTCTTTAGATCAGCCTGGGTTCTCCAGTTTGACCCACACCTCACCCTTCCCTATTGCATATCCTAATCCAGCCAGCTTGGCTGCATGCCCGGCCCCTGTAGGCACTGCATTTGCCACCCCGGATTGAATTCTATCTCAAACCCTCTCTCCACAGTAGTACAACCCCCAGGACTGGGGCTCTGATCCCTGCTGGGTAATGTAGGTCTTTCCTCTCCCTTCCCAAACTCCTTTCTTGCCGTCCTGATTCTAGAACCCCTGACCCTGTGTTCAGTGTCGCTGCCCCCTCCCACTCCCCCTGGGCCTCCTGGTCTGACTGGCTGGGGCGCTGCACGAGGGCAGGGGACATGTGCCAGATACACACCTGAATGTAGGACCTTGATCTTCTCCTCGGCTTCCCCCAGTCTGGCTGCCAAAGTGAAGGCCTGTACTTCCTGAAGGCCCCTGTGAAAAGACCTGGTGTGTGGACCGGCCCATCCTGGCTTCCTGTCCCCACTCCCACTCCCTGTACAATCTGCACCTCCGTCTTTTTAATGAGTCCTTAAACATGACAGTCAGGCACTTGGCTGCCCTGCGGTTTTGCTGACTGTGTGGCCTCCATTAGAGCTGGTGCCCAGTTAAGGTTCTGTAGCAGCCAGTGACCTTGCCTCTCTGGGCCTCAATTTCCTCATGTATAAAATGGGTTTCTGATGGAGTCTGCCTCAGAGAGTGTTGTGAAGCACGTTCAACGTGGTGCCCAGCACCCAGAGTTCCCTCAGTATCACTGGTAACTATTATTGTCCCCTTGAGAGGCACTTTTTTTCCCTTTTCTGTGGCAGGAGTTTGGGAAGCCCCCCCAGCCCACTGTGGTCTAACTTGGGTGTGATGCAAGCATCCCAGCGGAGAAGGAGGACCCCTAGCTATGCTGGGGGAGGGTTTATGCAAAGCCTGAGCCTTACCTTGGCTGGCTCAGTGACTCTAGGGAAGGAGCCCTGTTTACCTTGATCTTATCCTGCCCCCTCCCCCTCGCTCACTCCATTCCAGCCACACTCCCCTCACACATCAGGCACGTTCCTACCTCAGGGCCTTTGCACTGATTGTTCCCTCTGTCCCTATATACCTGCAAGGCTCCCTCACCTCCTTACGGCTTTGCTCACCTTCTCAGTGAGGCCTCCTCCAACACTCTATTTAAAACTTCAGCCCCCGGGGACTTCCCTGGTGGCGCAGTGGTTAAGAATCCTCCTGCCAATGCAGGGTACATGGGTTCGAGCCCTGGTCCGGGAAGATCCCACATGCTGCGGAGCAACTAAGCCTGTGCGCCACAACTGCTGAGGCTGTGTGCCACAACTACTGAAGCCTGCACGCCTAGAGCCCGTGTTCCGCAACAAGAGAAGCCCCCGCACCGCAACAAAGAGTAGCCCCCACTCTCCGCAACTAGAGAAAGCCTGCGCGCAGCAACAAAGACCCAACGCAGCCAAAAATAAATAAAATAAATAAATTAAAAAACCAAAAAACTTCAGCCCCCATCTTATCCTCTTCCTCTTCTGCTTTATCTGTCGTCACAATGCATATCATGTAGCACACCACTTATTTATCGTTTTTGTTTGTGTTTTCCTCACTAGAAAGTAAACTCCAGGAGGGCAGAGAGTTTTGTCCATTTTGTTCACCGCTGTTGCCTAGAACAGTGGCTGGCACACAGTAGGTGGCTGCATAAATATGTGGAATGAAAAAATAAGTGAATGACAGAAAGGATAAATGTAACAATCATCATAAAATTGTCCTAGAAAGGCCCTAAGAATGCATATTTTATCACCACTGCACCAATCGTAAAGGCAAACATTTACTGACATGTGCTTCTCCCTGTGAGCACTGAGCTAAGCATGTACAGGTGTCATTTCATTTCATTCTTATGGCAGACTAGGAGTTGACACTGCCTGTGACAGTCGGTGTTAATACGTCCATTTGGCTGGGCCATAGTACCCAGTTATTCAGTCATACACGAATACATGTACGGCTGTGAAGGCATTCTGTAGATGGGGTTAACATCTACAATCAGTTGATGTTAACTAAAGGAAAATATTCGCAATAACACAGGTGGGCTTCATTCAGTCAGTTGAAGGTCTTAAGAACAAAACTGAGGAAGAAGAAATTCTGCCTCAAGATGGCAGCACTTAGGCCCACCTGACAGTTTCCAGCCTGCTGGCCGGCTCGACCAATTCAGACTGGCCAGCCTCAATCGTGTGAGTTAAGTTTTTGAAATACAACTCTTTTTTTTTTTTTTTAATATTTATTTATTTGGCTATGTTGGGTCTTTGCTGCGGCACGTGGGCTCTTAGTTGCGGCATGTGGGATCTAGTTTCCTGACCAGAGATTGAACCCAGGTTTCCTGCATTGGGAACGTGGAATCTTAACCACTGGACCACCAGGGAAGTCCCAAAATACAACTCTTAATTAAAAAAAAAATTCTACTGGTTGTTCCTCTGGGGGACCCTGGCTAATATACCACCATTAGCCCCATTTTCTAGATGGGGAAACAGGCTCAGTGAGGTGATGTGACCTGCCCAGGGCTGGCCACTGAGCTGCTGACGTGTGGCTTGAACCCAGACCTGCATCCCCATCTCCAACCTGCATCTGGATTCCCAAAGGGTCCTGGGCAGGGGTGACTTTCCAGGTCCCCCCTCCCAGACAGGTGGAGCAGCGGGAGCCTGCCTGTCCTTCCCCCACTCACTTTTGTTTCTCTGCCTCATTTCTCTGCAGCAAAGTTTCTGTCAGGAGGGCTTTGCTGGGAATGCCTGGGAGGCGGCTCCCCTCAGTCAGCGTGGGCGCAGCTGGCGACGTCCCCTCTCTCTGTTCTGGAGGGAGAAAAAGAGGGAAAACCGCCCATTGCTGAGAGTGGCGTGACAGCCAGAGCTGCTTTCTGCAAACCAGATCGATCAACAGTGCTGGGAGAAGAATCAATTTCCCAAACTCAGCGTTGGAGAGAGCGCAGCTGTCAGGACCTGTTGTCACTGCGATCAGCTGGGTTGAGCCTCGGAGAGTGCCTGCACAAGAAAGTCAAACTCCATCGTGCCGGCCTCAGACAGCACACCCAGAGGCTTCCTTTGCCCTCTCAGACCTGTTCCTGCCTCCTTGGCCTTCTGTATGATTAAGAAAAATCATGGTAAAATATACATAACATAAAATTCACCATTTTAACCATTTTAAGGTGCACAATTTAGTGATACGTAGTATAGTCAAAATACTGTGCAACCATTATCAGTAATTCCAGAACACTGGCATCACCCCAAAAGGAAACCTGTCCCCATTAAGCAGTCACTCCCCACTCCCTTCCCTAGCCCCCGGCAACCCCTGTTCTGCTTTCTGTTGCTACGGATTTGTGTATTTTGGATATCTCAGCACTGGAATCATAACACCTATCCTTTTGTGACTTGATTCTTTCACTTAGCATGTTTTTGAGGTTCATCAAGGTTGGACCATGTGTCAGTACTTCATTCTTTTTTATGGCCGAATAATATTCCATTTCATGGTTATGCCATATTTTGTTTTTTCCCTTTCATCCATTAATGGACATTTGGATTATTCCCACGATTTGGCTACTGTGAACAGTGCTGCTATAAACATTTGTGTACAAGTTTTGTTTGAGCACCTGTTTTCAATTCTTTAGGGTATGTCCCTAGGAATGGAATGGTTGGGTCACAGGGTAACTCCAGATTTAACTTACTGAGGAGCCACCACACTGTTTTCCCTTCCCCAAAATTGATGGCACACGTTCAGATGCTCAGTCATCGCCCCTTACCTGCAGATGCCCTGGGGCAGGGCCCACATCAGATCCATCTTTACAGGCCCTGTGGCAGTTCATTTGGGGATCAGTGTGTGCCTTTGGCACTGAACTTATGGAGAGAGAGTTGCTCGGGGGCCAGCCATTGAGGGTGAGTGGCTCAAGAGTTCCAAAATTTGTTCTCCCAACCTTGGGTCCAAGTGACTCAGTTAAATCCTGTCCTAGTTTTTAAGTTTCTACTGTGATCCTGGCACAGGAGGGTGAGTGTAGAGGTGGGCGGTTTGTAGAGTGAGCCCCTCTACTCTAGAGGCTAGTACAGCAGTCAGCTTATAATACACACATGCACGCACACACACACGTGCACACACGTACTGGGTACGTTCCAGGTGCCTAGGCCACAACAGTGAACAAAAAGGCAAGTTTTGACCATCATGATGCAGAATAACAAGTGTCCTCAAGGAGAAACACAGCCCAGGACCAAGGTCAAAAACTTCTGTTCTGATTCCCCACTTGGCCACCTGCGGCTTCTGTGACTCAGTTTCCTCATCTGTAAAATGAGGCCAATGACACTTCAGAAGATTGATGCCAGGAGACAGTGAGATGCTGTGTGAAAGGCACACTGCACAGAGCAAATGCTCTCAAGAGGCAATTTCCACAACTACTATTATTCTTACAGAAGGAAGTTTGAACCTCAGAGGGACCTCAGAGGAAGGAGTGACAATTTTGCTGGGGAACCTCAGAGGCTTCACAGAGGTGTGTACATATGAGCAGGGGCTGAAGAACTGCCAAGTCCTGGCTTGGCGGTGTGGTTGGAATCGTATTCCAGGTGCAGGACCAGAGTTGGCAAAGTGCTGTTATTTTAGTCACTGTAAATCTTCCCCAGAAGACCCTGCCTAGGGCCAGGCTTACATCAGGTGCTCTCTATGTAATGTGGGGAGGGGGAAGGGAGGAGGTTGTGAAATGGGGGACTGTGAGAGAGTGGTTGTTTCCTGAGAAGAGACTTTGTGTCATGCTTTCATTTGACAGGCCTCAGCCCATTTTATCTTCACTACGTGCCAAATCTGGCCCACTACCTGTTTTGTCAATAAAGTATTATTGAAACAAAGCCATGCCTACTCATTTACATACTATCTATGGCTGCTTTCACCCAGAGTTAAGTAGTTGTGACAGAAACTACATGACCTGCAATACCTGCGATAATTGCTTTCTGGCCCTTTTCAGAAAAAGCTTGCTGACCTCTGAGGTAAATCCTACTCATTCGTTCATTAAACAAGAATCCCTTCACCTGACTCCCCCAATTCTCTACTCAATTTTTTCCCCAAAGTCTTTCTCACCAACTGACATACTATATATTTTACTAACATTTATTGACACTCAGTCCCTCCCTCTAGAAGGTCAGCATGATGAGAGCAGAGATTTTTGTCTGTTTTGTTCCTGGCTGTGTCCCCAGTGCCTACGACAGTGCCTGCAGGTCAATGAACATCCAAAACTTGGACGGTTACCAATGGCTTTCACCTGCTATTTGCTCCTCCCTATGGTAACCTCCTACCTCACCTTCCAAAGGTAACCACCATGCTGAATTTTGTTCACCATTCTCTTGCTTTCAAACATTTTTATCACAACATATGTACACCCAAACACTATTATTTTTAGCTTTGCTAGTTTCTTAACTTGTCTCGTTTGGGGCTGAGACAGTGCTGTGTTCACTACATCCTATTTCCCTCTCCTCCTGGGCACACAGCCAGACTACATTTTCCAGCCTCCTTTGCAGCAGGGATGTGGCCAAAGTGATGTGCGCCACTCCCACAACCTCAGTGTGATCCTCCACATTCTTTCTCTGCCTGTTGGCTGGGTGTCAACATTCACTGTGACTCTGGATGTCGAGAATTGACGATGACAGGACTACCACAGCCTGGGTCCCTGAATGACTGCATGGAGTGTCCCCTGCAACTTCCCCTCCCTTCAAATATATTAAGCCTCTGAGATTTGGGGTTGGTCTGTCTCAGCAGAAGTGCACCTTAACCCATCCCACATCTAAAATTATGATAGAGTTGAGTTCCCTGCCCTCCTTCCCCCACAAGGGTGGCCGAGTTTGGCTGCCAAAGATCCACAGCCCACTTGTTTATTATGGACATCCTGTGAAAACCTTATCAGTACCTTTGGGGCCGAGGAGCTCAGGGTGTCTCTTCCACGAACTGTGGAGCTCTCGCCGCGGCTGCCCGCTGGGGTCGAAGCTGGGGGACTGCAGTCTGTCGTCTGGGCTGCGTGAAGCCTCAAACACAGGCACGGGGTCTGCACAGAGAGAGGAGGACAGGGGTGGTGGGAGCCCTGGGGGCCAGGGGGTGCCCCGGCTGAGGCCACAGGGCCAGGGAGCTTGGGTGGGAAGAACCATCCATAGGAGCCATCTGGAATCGCTCTGGTGGCTTAGGGGAGCAACGTGGACTTTCTCTGGAGAGCAGGTGCCATCCCCATGGGTGTGGCTGTCCTGCCCAGCTGGGAATAATAATTATCATAATAACTTCATTTTCCTGATTCTATATGCCATCTGTGGTGGCCATGAGATTGTGTCCTGCACACCAACGACCACAGGGAACATCACTTAGCAAGGACCCTAGCAGGCACACTCTGAAATCCATCAGTTCAAACCTAGCCTTCTCATGGGACTTCCCAGACAAGGCCTGCAGGCACCAAGGATAGAGGTAGACCTGCTTCTGGGGGACACAAAACTGCTCTGAGGGCTGAGGACCGGCCCGTGGCCTTCCCCAGTGCGTCCTTCCTTAGGCTATAATGTGGTCTGGATGCTTTCACCCAGTTCCCCACCTCTCCTAGCTCCCTCCCTATTTTCCTTCACCCGAGGTTCCGTAATAGCATCTTTGCACATATAACCCTTGGGGTGCTTTTCAATGGATCTGGGCCAACACACCACCATTTGTGACACTTGTGGCCGATTAAATAGTAGTTTTTCTGGGGGCGAGATATACACCTGGATATAAGATGTCTCCGTATTTCCCAATAGCTAAATTGAGGACTCCAGGTCCTTCCACCTGCAATTCTGTCCCCCCTCCCACCCCGTCACCTAGCAAGCACTTCCTCTTCCTTCAGATCTAGAATCCAACACCTCTTCTTCCAGCAACTACCCACCTGGGGCAGGAGGTTTGGTGTAGCATCTTCCATGTTACAAAGCCAGTCCCTGGGAATAGGTTCCCACGATGCACCCAGCATCCCCTGGAGGCTGGCCTGGATCTAACTTGTTTTCACATATGAGGAAACTGCTCAGAGAAGCCAGGTGACTTGCTGAAGAGCAGAGGAGAGACTCAAGTCTGGGTCTCTTTCTCTGATGCCACAAAGACTTCCTGTCTCAGTGGTGTGGATATTTCGACCCCAGTAGCTGCAGGTAGGTAGGTGTTCGTGGGGTCCCAAGAAAGCCAGGGCCTCCTCGCTTCAGACCAAGGGGGCTGGTCTGGTCCACATTTTTTCTAATGCCCCAGAGCCCTCTCTCTTCCTGGTCCCTCCTTTGGGATCTCCCACCAGCATCTGCTTGGCCATTGCTCTCTGCTGGTGTGGACCCTGGAGTCAGATGTCCCTGGTCCTGGTCTAATCTATACTTGCTTCTTAGGATTGCTGTGTGACCTTGGTAAATGGCACTACCTCTCTGTGCCTCACAATAAAAGTACCGACCTCGTGAGCCTGTGATGAAGATTCATGTAAAGTGCTCAACACGGTGCCTGGCACTTGGTCAGCTCAGGACAAATGGAAGCCCTCACTATTATTCCTGCCCTTCTGAGTGCAAGCCACACTGACCTTCTTCTCTCAGTCCCTCAAACGCACCCCAGAGACGTTGTACGGGAGGGAGCCTCTGCCAGGAACACCCTGCCCTCCCCTATCCCTTTCAGCTAGTTAATGCTTATTCATCTTAGCAACTCAAATGCCAATTCTTCCAGGAAGCCTTCCTTGACCAGTCGGTCTTCTAGTATGAGCTCTCCCAGCTGCCTGCACCTTTCCTTCACAGCACTCACTGTACTTCCAATTTTCATTGATTTGCAAGTGCACCTAATTAATACCCGCTGGACTGCAAACTCCACAACAAGGCAGGGCTGGGACTGCATCTGTTCTTGCTCCTCCACTGGACCCCTTGTGGGGTGAATGAAGCCTGACCCACAGTCCAACCCAATAAATATCTTCTGGTGGAAGAAACGGGGCAGAGCCTATACTTGGGGACCTTCAGGTCCGGCTGGAACAAGGCCACCTCTGCATTTTATCCCTCTTCTCCCGCCTGTTTGTTTAGGTGGTGGGAGGCTCAGACAATGGGTGTTTGTGTCGAGGTAAGCAGGTGCACAGGAACGCTGCTGCTGGCTTTCCTCTGTCAGCACTCCCCCATGCCCCGTCATTAGGCAGGGGCTGCTCAGCAGGGTATGCCATTATGTCTCCCCGGGCTGATGTAATTATACATTGACATAATTAACCCAGCAAGCGCATTAGGCAGGCCAGCTAAAAATTCATCTATAATTATTTGTTGTGTGCATGCTAATGAGTCCATCTGCACTGCCTTTGTACAACACGGACAAATTAATTTACAAGTCTGGATTTTTTAATAAGTTAAGGGAAACGCTTCCTATTGTGTCCTGGTTTTTGAGAAAGGAAGAAAAAGGCGACAAGCGCTTGCCGGGGTCAGGGAGGTTAGATAAACACGGGAGGCTGCAGCTGAGGGCTGCAGAGGGCTCAGCTCTGGTTCCAGGGAGGAGGGAAAGATCCAGCTCATGGCTCAGGGGCCGGCTGGCTAGGAGCCTGTCCAAGCCAAAAGATGACGCTCGGGTGAAAAAGGAAGTCATTCACCCCATTCCCAGGGATCAGAAATTGTCATTCGTTGTGCATGGAGGCACTGCGGTCCCCTTGCTGCCTCGGCCTCTTTGTCCAGGGGAAGCTGACCGCAGGTGGCCTCCTGGACAGACTGGAGGAGGTGGGTGGCGAGTGGACACTCAGTACGGGGTCAGCGGGTTCCAAGGCTCTCTTTGCCTTCATTTGCCAGTACAGGGTAGAACACAGTGGTTAAACTCTCAGAACATGAAGTCCAGCGCTGGTCTCAAGACTCAGTTTCCCCACTTAAAAAGTCAGAAAATATTACAGTTTCTACTTCTCAGAAGTTACTACTGGGAAGACTGAAAAAGATTACTGAGAGAGGCAGCATGATTTAAGGACTGCTGGTGTCAGCTCCAGCTCTAAACTGGCCATGTGACCTTTGGACAGTTAACCTCTCCAAGCCTCCATTTTCTTATCTGTAAAATGGGGCTGCAAGGACTGAATGAGAGAATGTGTATAGAGATTTGCACAGTGCTGGGTGCACAGTAGGGCTTGATAAGTGTTGGCTGCTGTTACCACCCTGAGAGGGGGCAGCACACCGTCCCGTGACGTTCTAGGAGCTGCGGTCTACATGGCAAAACTCCACGGAGACTCAGGACAGGGTAAGGCCTCATATACTCTCATCAGTGCCTGGGAGACTCAGAATCCAGTAATCCTGCGTTGAGCTCCACTCAGGGACTCAAAGGCTCCAGCTTAGAAAGTCACACTGAGGAGGGACAATTTGTCAAGTGTCCAACACCCCTACCCCAGTGCACAGTTGGGGAAAAATGGGGTCCCGTGACTTCCCTGAAGTCTGCCAGTGAGTTGGTGATAGGGCCAAGATGGGGCCTTGGGCCTCGGCCTCTTCTTCCCACACTGTGCTTCCTCCTCGATCCTCAATTTGAGACAGGAAGTCGGGGAAGGTTCAGATGACTCAGCCGACGTCAGGCTGTGGCCAAACCCTAACAGCCGGAGCACTTTAAATTGATTAGAATTCATACAGTCTTCACCACAACACTGTTAGTAGGGCTGTTGTGTTCCCATTCTATAGATGGGCAAACTGAGGCATGGGGGAGTGAAATCACTTCCCCAAGGTGAGGCCCAATAAGGTAGATGCTGCTATTTCCATTTTCCAGGCAAGGAAATGAAGGCCCAGAGAGGAGATTCCATGTGCCCAAGGTCGCCGAGCTCAGAAGTGGCAGGGGTGGGATTTGAACCCGGAGTGCCTGGTGACTCTTTGTAGTGGGCTAAGCTGCCTTGAGGCAGGGCATGGGGGATTACTAGGCCAGAAGCAAAGAGAATGAGGGCGCTGTTCTTGGCCTTGCCACAGGCTTGCTGTGTGACCTTGGACAAAGCATCAGACTTTTCTGGGCTCCAAATTTCTATCACAAGTATTCCTGAGGCACACACTCAATCAACATTGGTTATCACCAGATAGGGGTGTGGTCCTGCCAAAGTGAGTGCTTTTGGCCCTGGGCCTATTCCTTGGCGCCGGGATGCTCAGGGAGGGTGATTATTAAACGCCTTCATAGCTGAACTTGACACTTGAGGTTTGAACATTGTGAATCCTCCAAATTCCCAAAGCCACTCTCAGATAAAGGGGGAGAGGGACAGGTTGGGAGGCTGATGGTCAAATCCTGGCTGTGACAACTTTAGGGAAAGTCACTTAGGTCACCTGAGCCTCAGTTTCCTCCTCAGTAAAACAGGGATAACAACAGGACCTACTGTAGAGGGCTGTGCAGGGACTCCATGAGCACGCTGAGCCCCTGCGACAGTGCCTGGCACCTAACAGAGTCTAAGTGAGCATTACCCTTATCCTTATGACTTGTGGCAGTGTGGGATGTGCCACCCAGCTCTCCCTTCAAGAAGAACGTCCTGCGAGGAGTTGGTGACAGTCTCCAGGCGCTGCACCTTCGGATACACTGCAGTGTTGGTTCGGAGGTCAGGTTTCCCCAGGCCTGCTCCCAGCCAATGACCGAGCAAGACAGAGACAGTAGGGCTGGACCACTCCTGCCGATGCTGGAAAAGGCAACCTAGTATCATAGACTAAAATGTTTTCCCCCAAACCCATATGTTGAAGCCTTAACCCCTGATGCAACTGTATCTGGAGACAGGGCTTTAAGGAAGTAATTACGGTTAAATGAGGTCATTAAGAGTGGGGCCCAATCTGATAGGACTGGTGTCCTTACAAGAAGAGGAAGAGACACTAGAGCTTTCTCCCTCTGCACGTGCAGAAAGGAAAGGCCATGTGGGGACACAGTAAGAAGGCAGCCATCTACAAGCCAGGAAAAGAGCTCTCACCAGAAACCAACCCTGCTGGTACCTTGATCTTGGACTTCCCAGCCTCCAGAACTGTAAGAGAGAAAATTCTGTTGTTTAAGCCACCTAGTTTGTGGTGTTTTCTTATAGCAGCCTGAGCAGACTATTGCATCCTGCTTTGGGGCTCCTGTTAGTTT